GGACACAAATCGCCTTGGCCGTAGCACTATATATAGGAGTATGCAGAGATGACTGGGAATTACTGGGTACCACTTGGACAACAACAAAGGAGAATGGATCCACTGAGACTACATACTACATCGATTTAGTGCTTCCGTTTGGAGCTAGATCATCGCCTTATTTATTTAACCAATTCGCAGATGCCTTAGAATTCATCATGCGTGAAAATGGCGCAACAGAAGCACAGCATTATTTAGATTATTACTTTACATGTGGTCCTCCTAATTCTATGATATGTCATGAAAATATCGACATCATGGTGAAGACGTGTCGTGAAATAGGTTTTGATATCAATCCTGCAAAAACGATCATGCCTACTACATCTCTCGAGTACTTGGGTCTGGTAATTGATGCCGAAAAATTTGAATTACAGATACCTAGTGATAAAGTACATGATATGATTGATAATCTAAAACAGTGGTTAGTGTGCAAGAGAGCTTCAACACGACAAATATCTTTACAAGGAAAACTAACATATCTTTGTAGAGTTGTGCGCTGTGGAAATACGTTCTTACGGAGAATAATTGACCTATCCACAAAATTGAAGCAACTTAATCATAAGATCAAGATCACAAAAACATTTCTTGCCGACATAAATTGGTGGCTCACTTATTTAACACAGTGGAACGGTGTGAGTCTATTCATCGACGAAGCATGGACTCCAAACACTATTTTACATCTGTATACAGATGCTTCCAAGGCTTACTATGGTGCATTCTTCAATGGTCAATATACTTATGGTGAATTCTAAGAATGTTACATGAACTATGGAATAACATTCAAAGAACTTTATGCCATCGTTGTTGCCATAGCTACGTGGAAATGTTTGTCTCAGAAGCGCTTATTGTTTCATTGCGATAACGAGGCCGTAGTCACAGGGATAAATAAAGGATCATGCAGAAACAAAGATCTAATGGCTCTTGTCAGAGCCCTATATATCAATGTGCAAAAAACAATTGTGAATGTCGTGCAATTCACATCGAAGGACAAAAGAACCAAATTGCCGATTCTATAAGCAGGAAAAAATGGGACACTTTCAAAAAGTTAACGGAAAATCAAACCGTACGCTTTGTAAAGCCTATTGATTTTAATATATTTTATTAAGCTCGTTTAAATATTTGAAACAATGTATTGTGCAAATTTTTCAGTACTATTCTATGTAACATGGAGATCATACGTATAGAATTGTTTTTTTTAACAAGTTTCATTCTAAAGATTGAAGTCATATTTTGTATTAACACATGTATGTATCTTATGTAATTCTAGATAGTAAAGCCGAACGTCTGGCATATCTCCAACACAAGTCAGATTCCTTTAGTAAAACAAGGTCTACAATTGTCAACTCAGAAGACTTATGCTGTTGGTCAAAAACAGTTTATTAAATTTTGTAATAGTCGCGATCTTACATTTTGTCCAACAAGTGAGAAAACTATTTTAAACTTTATTGCAGATTGCAATGACCGTAATCTGAGACATGGCACTATTTTGAGTTATTTGTATGGTGTTCGATCATTACATTTGGAAAATGGACGGCAAGATCCACTAAAAGATAGTCTCAAAATAAAAAGAGCTTTAAAAGCAATTCAAAAATCTCAAGACAATACATCTAACCCAAAATTAGCCATAAGTCATGAAATAATGAAATCACCAATTCATCTCCATACAGATAGTCATGACAACATAGTACTATGGTCAGCCATAACAATGGCCTTCTTCGGTTTATTCAGATGTGGAGAGATAACTTTAGGAGATCATCAAATTTTTGATCCTGATGTACATATGACACGCGATTGTGTTACAATGGTTCATGAAAAAAACATAGAATATATGAAAGTATTTTTAAAGTGTTCTAAGACAGACACTATTTGAACTGGTATAGAGGTAGTTATTGGATGTAGTCAGCACAACGTATGTGCCGTTCATGCAATGAAAAAGAATTTGTATATAGCAAAACACGCTCATCCAAAATCTCCATTGTTTGTTCTCCAGAATGGCAAAATACTCAACAGGTCCACATTTGTCAATCATACTAAGTAATGCTTACTCAAACTTGGTATAAATCCTAGCAAATACAGTGGACACAGCTTCCGTATCGGAGGCTGTACATCTGGAGTCACTGCCAATCTGGAAGACTGGGAGTTAAAACTAATAGGTAGGTCAAGTGATTGTTTTCAACGTTACATCAGAACTCCAGTCGAGTTATTGGCTACCTACGCTAAAAAGATTATCAATTAGATGTAAAAGCGAAAACTTCATGCTTGGGCGTTTTTGGGCCGTGTTCATTTACGCTAAATGCTCATATTTAATGTTTTGATAGTAAATGAATAAATAAAAGCCTACTTTTAGCCCAAACATCAGTTTTTCTCTGTGTTATATTATAATGAAGAGTGTACATTAAAAATTAAACATTATTTTGTAGATTTAGACACGGGCTTTCGGGTCGTATATGCATTTTAGTCATTAAATTAACAAGAACGCTAGATTATACGTGTTACTAGGGTATCAAATTGAAATAAATTAACGAAATTAAATATGAATACGTTAATAATAAATGACTATCCGCTATCAGTATTAATGACTATCCGCTATCAGTATTAATGACTATCCGCTATTTAGAATAATTAAAATTGCCTGAACTACATGTGAAGAATCTTTCTATACGAGGGTTGTCCCAGAAGTAATGCACTATATGCTCTAACTTTCTTTAATATTCTTCAATTCAGCTGAAATTTTGTGTATATAACAATTGAAGTTTTATCTATTATATCCTGAAGTTTCAGCATCAAACATTAATATTAAGTCTTAATATGGCTGCTATAGCAACATGGGGATAGGGGTGGGCGGGGCAGGTACCAATTTTTCTAATTATGAAAAGATCCAAAGTGTTATTTTATTAATATTTCTTTCTTTTAAATGATCAAAATGTTTGGGAAATTGTTCAATTTATTCAGCATGATGTTAAACAAGTACAAATAATGACATTTAGAACTGTGATTTCATAATACCACATTTTAATAGTCACAAATTCAAATACAGTCACAGTCAAGAAATTGCAAAAATGGCTGCAATTCTCACCTGATAACAAAAGGCCTTGCGTTTTGTGGCCTAATTTAATACTTCACTTGGAGTCACAGCCACGCAAAACGTATGCTACCATGAAGAAAGTATATAAGGAGTATATACCAGATAGAACTACAATTATGAGGTGGCAGAAGAGATTTAAAAGAGATGACTTGACCCTGGATGACAACTCCAAATGTGGGAGGCAAAATCTCCAAGTCACAGTGGAAGAAATTGCCAATAGTGTTTGACCTGACAGGCATCAAAAGTACATAACATGCAAAGGGCAATATTTTGAGAAAATGTGAAATGGGACACTGTGCAATATACATCCATTAAATCTAGGATGTGCTCATCGTCATTTAGTCTCTTAAAATGTATTTTTGAGCATACTTAATTATTTCATATTTTCAATTTTTTATTCCTTTTGATATTGACTGTATAACCTGCCCCACCCTACCCAAACTCACCAACTTGATTTCATTATAACATCAGTATAGTTTTATCAGTCAATATAAAAATTTGTAGAATAATCAAAATGTTTCTAAAGAACATTTACTGAAAATTTCATGGAAAAATATCAATTATTGATAAAGTTAGAGCATATAGTGCATTACTTCTGGGACAACCCTCGTATAACCCCTTGAATGGTCTAATTCCCTACCGTCCTCAAAAACCGATCATTTAAATATTTTGTTCAAAATACAATCATACCACGAGCATTTCTTCACGACTTGCTGTAGTACTGATATGACGTCGTATTTCTCTATTAGTGTAAAAAAAACTAATACCAGATCGATGTAGTCTTATCTTACCTGTTGAATGTCAGATGTTTTTGGATGGTATCCAGTGATTTTGCATTCATTCATGAAACGCTCATCACAAGACATCTCGAAACAAACATTATCCTCTTTGTGACAAGAGGAAAAATGTTTCACAATATGTTATGCCTCACGGCAAAGTAAAAATACATTTCTGGGACGACTTTTTATGCATCTTAAGATTTTAGAAAAACAATAAAATTACAAAAATACAGTTGAATAACATACTAGAAAACGTATCCACATACTGGTTTTTTGTTACATATCAATGTAACATTTTCGAAGGGAAACTTACATGCTCCCTGTACGTTGATAGATTTACTGAAATGTGTCGTGTATTGCATTCGAGTTTTGCATCACTGCGCCCACTATTATCTATCTTTGCCTATAGTGGTTTTTTGCCAACAATATTCTACAAACTGCTTGATGAATCAATTCTATGCCTGGTAGAACACAAGAAATAAATGTAAAATGTATTTTACGTTCGGAAATATTGAATTAAACACACGTCCTCCATTTGCAACTTAGCTGTACCCTGTTTCCCTTTTAAACGTGGTCACGTGGTAGGGTAGTGTGTAGTATTCAAAAGTTATAATGAAAGGGTAGTCAAAGTGTATCGAGAAGTGAATGGGTGTAATAAGTTCAGCTTCAGTGCACTGCATGTAACAGGCCAGGTACAGTTTAAAATTTGATTTCTTTTGAGTTTACTATTCAACTATTGGATGAGTGAATGGGGTGTAACTAGATCAGCTTTAGTGCGTTGTATGTGACAGGCACTCGTCTTTTGTGCAACACTGATTTTGGTTAGCTTGCCAAGTGTCAATTCTATAAAAACAATGGAAAAAAGAATGAACCTTTCTTTGTTACGACTGTACATTCTTTAAAATAAGCTACAGTTCATTCGATATTGTAACTACCTAATGCCGGCGCCCGGCCGATTGAGTATTTTGTTCAAATTTTTATTCAATTTTGATCAAAATACTCAATCTGCCGGGCGCACCGCCGTAGTGAAAATCGTAGCAAATGTGACCAAGGCATGCATTAGTGTGGTTTTTAAGGGAAACACACATGTACATTACCTGATGTGACAGCTCACTAAATGTAACATGAACATCAGAGTCTGCATATATAACTGCAACGTTGTCAGGCGTTTTCTTTGCTGCTCGTTTCAACGCATCTCCAAGGCAGAATTGTAATAATGGAAATGTACAATCCCCTTTTACATAGCTTTCCTTTAGTCCACTACACAGCGCCACATCCCTTAGAAAAAGATTATCAAACATATAGTAGTAGTACAGAAGAAGTGAGTAATTCCCACAATTCTTTTATATTCTATCGTATTCGGGGATTCCCCATTACGTTATCTCCCGCATCATCTCAAATCAAATTGCAGGATGTGATCACGTGAACAATCATGAGCCCGTGCTCTCAGGAGTGAGTAGCTCCCATAATTCTTTCATATAGTAGTAGTACAGAAGAAGTGAGTAATTCCCACAATTCTTTCATATTCTATCGTATTCGGGGATTCCCCATCACATCATCTCTTGCATCATCTCCAATCAAATTGCAGGATTCGATTACGTGAACAATCATGAGCACATGCTCGATCAGTGCTGCGCATGCGCAGAGTTAAATTTGAAATCCTGGGAATGGCGTTAACATCAGTTCAACATCATCATTTCAAACTTACGGTAATACTATTGAAGTTACTCGATCCATACTTGTAGAGAATACTCATAAAACTACAGTGAACATTTGGAGATCCATTTCAATAGCAATTTGAGGCCTGTTTATAAAATTTGTTTTCGAACGTGCTAATATGATAGGGCATCTTTGGGAAATCTCCCCCCCCCCTGCGTGCTCTCTAAGGGCTGCACATGCGCAAAGTTAAATTTGAAATCTTGGGAATGGCATTAACATCAGTTCAACTTCATCATTTCAAACCTACGGTAAATTGAAGTTACTCAAACCATACTTGTAGAGAATACTCATAAAACTACAGCGAACATTTGGAGATCCATTTCAATGGCAAATGAGGTCTGTTTATAAAATTCGTTTTCGAACGTGCCAATATGAAAGGTCATCTTGGGGAAATCTCCCCCCCCCCCCCCTGCTTGTAGTACTACGATATATATCGTTTGAAATACACTGATTTTTAATCGTAATACGAAATTGAACATAAACAGATGACTCTACAGGGTGGGCCAAAAAATGTTCACGTTTTTGTTTTGCTACAACGTCGTTGATATTATAGACACATGTATAAATCATATATCATTGGAAAGACAATTCAATTTCCAACAAAATGATATATAATTCATTCAATAAAAATGATTATTTGTCTAAGAATATCATTTCGATTACCACAGGTGTCAAAATCATGATTTACCAATTGCTGAATAAAAAATGCTAAGAACTGACCAGACAGATATAACCCCTATGTCAGATTTGGGGATATAATTCTAATTATAGAAGGTCAAAATTGTTCATTTACGTTTCAAATTAAAGGAAAATAATTTACAAATGCAATATCATTGAGATCTTTCACTATTTTGATAGGTATTGGTAAGATAGGTCAAATAATGTAGTGTCTGTCTCAAATAGTTGGATATTCAAGACATTTTGGAGATATTGCCTATTTAAGGCTAGAATTATCATGAAATGGGCAATGATGATGTTGTACTTATATAACTTAAATGACATCTTAAATGGCAGACAATGTAATTATAGACACCAGAAAGGAAATAAGGGATATTTTCTATATCATTGGTTATGGCATTATTTCAACTGAGTTTCTTTGCAAAACATGTTTGAAGCAATTATCAATGTATATAACTATCTAACTTCATAACGAACTACAATGCACAGAGTTTTGTTGGAAATTGAATTATCTTTCTAATGATTTGTAATTTATGGATATTTCAAACATATCAGCAACGATATTACAAAAATTAAAATGTGGACGTTTTTGGCCCACCCTGTATCTATACGTTCCAGCGAATTATGGAATTGAAACTAACGGTGGCACAAAAAATGCAAAAAGTACTATATAAAAAACGAAAGGCGGTCTCATAAATGAACTGAGTTCTTATACACAGCTCGACCTTAGGACTAAGGTTTCGTCAATATACCCTTTCGTGATTTACATGACCTTAGGCCTAAGGTCTCATCAATGAATGGTTTTGCCATATACCTTCAATACACCCGACCTTAGGCCTAAGGTATAAATGACATATAACAGACCTTAGGGGGGTTAGTTGAGAATGAAACTGAAAACTTGAGAATGTGTTTTAGGAAAAAATAACGGTGGCACAAAACATGCAAAAAGTGCAATATTAAAGACCGAAAGGCGGTCAATTTGTCCCTCCCCTCTAGACAGTACGTATAGGCTGTATAGCTTTGGAAAATATTTAAGCGTTTTGACCAACAAGGGCTGAGGTTGAGGTCATTGAGTTCAGCAAGGGTTGTATTGACTTGACAATAGAGAGGTTAAGCTACACGTATGAATACAAACCCTGAACCTGAACGCGTAAGTCCACGCTCAAGTCCACGTTCAAGGACATTTTCTGTTAAGCTACACGTCTGAAACCATGTCAGTGGACGTGGAGGTATATTTATGTGGTGCCTTTATTTAAAGGTCATGTCTCTATGGTGTAATGGATAGCACTTCGGACTCATATAAGGCCTGGGTTCGAATCTAGTCGCGTTAAAACATTTTATTTTTTATTTTTGCTTTATTTCATATTCAACCACAATTAAAGGGTATAGTGCACTTTCCATTATGATTTCCCCATGAACAAAATAAATCATTTTTAACTGTAACATAAAGAATACAATGTCACATATCTATTGACTTAACATGTGGATACCATCAGATTCCGATGGAGGCATTTGGTTTTTATTGATTTTCACAAAAGTACCTAAAATACACTATGACCTGAATCGATTACAAATTAAATAATTTCACAATATGACACAAATGGTATATCACATCAGATGTGCAAATATAAAGTTTGCAATCGATTCAGGTCATTCTTTAAATTAAAAGATTATACATTTTTTCATCATTTTTGCTACAAAATGGTTATAGAAAAATGCTTCAAAAGCATTTTTACACTAATGAAATCCCGTACAACTTTGTAAATCCAAAGATTATACCGTTATGTTTCATTAATTAACAACATATTTGGATAAGATGTAGGGATGTGTAGGATGCAAATGGATTTTGACAGACACAAAAAGAGACTACCTGGTTTGGCATCTCTACCCCTGTACACTTTATTATTGAATATTGTCCCTAATAAGTGGCCCATTCATCAATTCAGTGCTAAATATAGGTCAACAAGATACTAGCGTATAGCAGTATATTTATCTTGAAAATCAGATGAATCTATTTTTGTTAATGGGAAGATCATAATTGAGGGCGCACTAGATCCTTTCTTGCCCTGGTTGTCATTTCATTTAGTTTAGTATACATATTGTACTAAGCCCAAGGCATCAAATTGGTCTTGCGTATTTATATTGTACGGAATGAACAAACGATCACATTTGAAGTTGTCATTTACCCATTTAAAATGTATTCTTATTTCCAATTAAGGATTGGGGTATACCAATAAAACAACCAAGATTGTTTGTATCAAATATGGGCTCCAGGGACATCCTAGAACATAGCTAAAATCAATCACGTAATGAGCAACGTGTAATCACTCATCTACACGTAAAAACCTGTAACTTTCACGCTTACCTGTAGAAAGTAGACTAATCTGACGTCATTTTTCTGCGCGCGCATAGAAGTACAGGTTCATGCTTTGTTGAATAAGCGTCTGTAAATTGCAAGAAAATGATAATTTCAATTCAATTCAATTCAATTTACTCTGAAGGTTTACTCTAATCTCATGTAAAAACCTGCAAATTTTACGCTGTCCCACAGGAAATAAACAAATCTGACGTCATTTATCTGCGCGCGCATTGAAGTTCACGTTCAAGTTTTGTTAAATACGTGTAGCTTAAACTCTCTAATGAATGTGCTCCATTGACTTAACATGTGGATATCACCAGATTCCAATGGAGGCCATTGGTTTCTATTGATTTTCATAAAAATAACTTAAATACACTAGGACCTGAATCGATTGCAAATTAAATAATTGCACAATATGACACAAATGGTATATCACATCAGATGTGCAAATATAAAGTTTGCAATCGATTCAGGTCATACTTCAAATTAAAAGATTATACATTTTTTCATAATTTTTTCCTACAAAATGACTATAGAAAAATGCTTCAAAAGCAACTTTTATACTTATGAAATCCCATACAACTTTGTTAATCCAAAGATTATACTGTTTAGTTTCATTAATTAATAACATATTTGGATAAGATGTAGGGATGTGTAGGATGCAAATGGACAGACTCAAAAAGACTTCCTGGTTTGGCATCTCTACCCCTGTATTCTTTATGATTGAATATTGGCCATACTAAGTGGCCCATTCATCGATACAGTGCTGAATATAGGTCAACAAGATACTAGTGTACATATAAATATAATGATAAAAGCAGTATATTTATTTTGAAAAATCAAATGAATTTATTTTTGTTCATGGGGAGATCATAATGGAGGGTGCACTAGATCCTTTGACACAGATCAGAATCAAAACTACTTGTTTTGCACTTGTTCCCAACATTACTTTAAAAACACCATCAACAGTTTGAGTAAACGGTACAGCATGTGTGTAAACAAACGTACAGCAAGTAGCAAATAAATGATCACTTTTTGTATTGTGTTTTTAGACATTTTATTTGATAATTTGTTATTTTGACTTGAATGATTTGGCAACAATAAATTAACTTGAAAATGAAACTTACTGAGAGTGGAACCATTCCATTTTTCATACGATATACTGGATTCCAGATCCTAAATGTATCCTGTCTGTCCTGTCGCGAACACTGTATATAGTACCTTCACAATTTCCAAAGTGAATTGAACCTTCAAACTCCACGTGAACTCTACTATTCATGCGGATAAATGAATGTTGTTGTTTTAAAAAATCTACTTATGTCTCGACTCTTTACTAACCCTTATTATCCTAAGCTTCCAATACCGGTAGTGCGAGGTCACGGTGTTATAGCATGACAGTTACGTCAAGGCGATTTGCAAAATTTTGCGGTAACGATAACAAAAAAATGGCGGATGGGAAAGACAGCATGTCCTCTTTCTCACCTGTAGGCAATATTCACAGATAAGTTTTCCTTTTAAACTAGTTCCTTTTGTTGACTTATATATGGATGGTTATAAAGACTGGGTCAAATCTGCCAGGTGGTCTACAAGAAACAGAATATAAGCTGTAAACCTACCGACTGATATATCCAAGTTTATAATTGTTGGTCCATTCTCGTGTTTTCTCAGTACATGTGCCTCAGAGCCACTCTAAATATTAACTGAAAGTAAACTGTGTATAAGCAAGGCATAAAATGACAAATCCAGAACAGGATCATGGTGTGTATCGTAAATAATAAGGTTTCAAACACAATGTCGTTAAACGACTACGTATGACTTCTATCGAATTCTATGGACGGTAAACGTATTGTATTAGTTGTACGTAAGATATTTAGCGGACGGTTACGTGCATGTGCATCTGTCAAGTCAAGGTTGCTAGATCTGATAGCCTCTTTCCATGTTATTGTTATAATGGGTAAGAAATGGAATATTGAATTTCCTGTATTTGTTTTCAGGACTCGCAAGAGACGCTCTTGTTTCGGCCTCTATAAGGCAAGGAAAAAACCATCACTTGCTTTATTTATGAAACAGATGAAAGTGTAAAAGATAGCAATGAAGAGGCAAAAGAAGATTTAGGATCAAGTACTGATAAAGATGACAAAATTAACAACAATAAATCGGGGTTTCATATTTGAATCAGGTTCGCGTAACCGTCCATCAATTTTTTACGTTACCGCAAATTCATAATACATTATTATGGCTTGAGTAGAGCATATTAGGTGGTTTCCAATCCTCTATTGGCTTTGTATGATCGTATATAGGTTACATCTATATACCACAAGGTTTTTAGGCAATGTAGACCATCCCCTAACAACAAAAATAAACGAATTCCTAAATGTTTGTGTAGTTTTGAATTTCAAACTCTACAGTTTTGCTCTTATTTCATGTTATCCCTGGGCATCAATTTGGAAAGACTACTTTCAAAATATACATTACTGAATGCATCACCGAATGCGACGCTTACCTAAATAGTTCATCTTTTCATTGATACACAGTAGTAGAAAATAATGCACCAACCTTAGTTTTCTCTTCCATCGCGGCCATTTTATTGGATAAATCCGTGAACGTAGCCGCCCAACCTCGTTTTCAGAGGTGGCGTAACCGTCATGCTATAACAACGTTTAGGTGGGAATGTCACCTTGTATGGTACTGGTGAAAGGGAATTTTTTGAAAAGAATTGCTTTACCTAACCCCAGTGTTGTCCAAAAATATCTCGTCATTGATTTATTGCTGTTGTGTAGCTATAGTTGTGAGATATGCAACGAAAGCACTCGTTTGGGCATGGCTGGTGGATATTTAGCAATCACCCTTTGTGAGCAGGCATGTGTGAAATGCAGCGAAGGCACCCTTTTTGGCAGGGCTGATGAATATGTAGCATTCAACCTTTCTGGGCAGGCATGTGTGAAATGCAGCGAAGGCACCCTTTTTGGCAGGGTTGGTGAATATGTAGCATTCACCCTTTGTGGGCAGGCATGTGTGAAATGCAGCGAAGGCACCTTTTTTGGCGGGGCTGATGAATATTTAGCATTCACCCTTTGTGGGCAGGCATGTGTGAAATGCAGCGAATGCACCCTTTTTGGCAGGGCTGGTAAATATGTAGCATTCACCCTTTGTGGGCAGGCATGTGTGAAATGCAGCGATGGCACCCTTTTTGGCAGGGCAGGTGAATATGTAGCATTCACCCTTTGTGGGCAGGCATGTGTAAAATGCAGCGATGGCACCCTTTGGCAGGGCTGATGAATATTTAGCATTCACCATTTGTGGGCAGGTATGTGTGAAATGCAGCGATGGCACCCTTTTTGGCAGGGCTGATAAATATTTAGCATTCACCCTTTGTGGGCAGCCATGTGTGAAATGCAGCGAAGGCACCCTTTTTGGCAGGGCTGGTGAATATGGAGCATTCATCCTTTGTGGGCAGGCATGTGAGAAATGCAGCGATGGCCCCCGTATTTGGACACCTGATAGGTCAAGAGGGTAGATATATTATATTGGCCAAGGGATAGTCCAAATATCCTGAACCGACTATAGGATGATCTGTTTACCCCATACCAATCTTTGTCACATTGTTCAATTGTCCACAGTCCAAAAAGCACTACAATGGGGAACCCATCTCAACATTTTTTTAACTTATTTACTTAACAGAGGTTCTTTTTTATTTGAATTGCATGAAAATATTATTCAACAAGTGGTCTAAAACTTTTTCATTAGTAGAATTGTAATGAAAGTCTAGTTTTGGAGATGTCAATTTTCAATGACCAAAATTATGCTGAAAACAATGGATAGTTTGAGTTTTTCCGATGGAAAATAACATGGAATTTGTGGTTTTTAACTTTATTGCATTTCAATACCCGTCCCCTTTTCAGAATTTGTTAATTCATTAGCGTAGAAGAACTTTTGATATATTAAAATTAAGAAAAAATACTTCAGAAAATAAGCCTAATGTTTTTCAAAAAGTGACAAGGTTGAGGGGGATTCATGATGAATCCCATTGAAAGCTCATGTTTGTACTGAATCCCATCGAAAGACCATGCTTGTACGATGACTCCAATTGAAACCCCCTGCTTGTACGATGAATCCCATTGAAAGACCACGCTTGAATTGATGAATCCCATTGAAAGTCCATGCTTGTACTGATGAATCCCATTGAAAGCCCATGTTTGTACTGATAAATCCCATTGAAAGCCCATGTTTGTACTGAATCCCATTGAAAGCCCATGCTTGTACGATGGATTCTATTGAAGGTCCATGCTTGTACGATGTGTCCCGTTGAAGGTCCATGCTTGTACGATGTGTCCCGTTGAAGGTCCATGCTTGTACTGGTGAATCATATTAAAAGCCCATGCTTATACTGATGAATCCTATTGAGAGCCCATGTTTGTACTGAATCCCATTGAAAGCCCATGCTTGTACTGTGATGAATACCATTGAAAGCCCGTGCTTGAATTGATGAATCACATTGAAGGTCCATGCTTGTACTGATAAATCCTATTGAGAGCCCATGCTCGTACTGTTGAATCCCCTTGAAAGACTATGCTTGTACTGATGAATCACATTGATAGACCATGCTTGTACGATGAATTCTATTGAAAGCCCATGCTTGTACGATGAATCCCGTTGAAATCCCACGCTTGAATTGATGAATCCCATTGAAAGTCCATGCTCGTACTGTTAAATCCCATTGAAAGACCATGCTCGTACTGTTGAATCCCCTTGAAAGACCATGCTTGTACTGATGAATCCTATTGAAAGCCCATGTTTGTACTGGATTCCATTGAAAGAACATGCTTGTACGATGGATTCTATTGAAGGCCCATATGTTTGTACTGAATCCCATTGAAAGACCAAGCTTGTACTGATGAATTTTATTGAAAGCATATGTGTTTACTGAATCCCATTGAAAGATCATGCTTGTACGATGAATTCTATTGAAGAGGCCCATGTTTGTACTGAATCCCATTGAAAGACCATGCTTGTACTTATGAATCCCATTGAAAGCTCATGCTTGTATGCATGAATACCACTGAAAGCTTATCCTTGTACGATGAATCCTATTGACTTAAAATTGTAATTAGCCCATAATTTAGCAGGCTTTCATTAATGATGTATAACATACTAGTTTAATTATACAATGTAAGATTCACACTGGAATAGCCTGACAGCGCATAGCCGTAGGCAGCGGGGGTTCGGTGGGTTCGAACGAACCCCCGGTCAGAATTTCCCAAAATATCATTTTGCGGAAAATGCATATAACCAGAAACATTAAATTACTACATGCTATTTGAAAACTGCATATGAGCAGTAAATGAATTGATATAAATGTTATGGTGAACATGAGAGGCTTATTTTGTTAAAAACATGTCATAGTGGAGTTACACTTCCCTCAAAACGTTTGGCAACCTTAGGCACGGGGTGTGATCTAATTTTGGCAAGACCCCAGAGCATGAGATTCTACATTTAGAAATAACAATAATTTCGAACAATTAACTTAAAAGCTGCTTCTTCTCGGACAAAATAACCCATCTTTGGCAATGGCTAAATCAGTGCTTTGTAGGAATTTTGTTTTAAGACAGTTCTGGTCCAATACGAAGTTATTAAAGGTTATCGAAAACAATGAAGACGTTTTTACAACATTGACGAATAAATATTTGGAATAGTCTTAATATTGATGAAACACGTGTTCTTTCAAATGTGTAGGTCCATCTCTGTTTTTGGTTTATTTCAATTAAAAGGACCTTATACACCCTCCATTGGGATCTCCCCATGGGAAAAAAATAATTCATCTGATTTTTCAAAATGAGTATTCTGCTTCAATTATTACATTAATATGCACACTAGTTTAATACATAATCCAATGGGTTAGTTAGGATTGCCAAACTTTTGGAGGGAGTGTAATTGTACAAATTGCATTATTTGAGGAACCCTAATGAAGGGGGAGATTTGTGAATAAATAAAAATAGAACCCCCGGTCACCAAATCCTGGCTACGCCACTGCAGCGGTAAAGTCAGATACCGTTGTCACAAATGGCGGACATAACCGTCGCTTCAACTGTTAAATCACTTTGTCCTCATGGGATTTTATCGTCGCTAATTCTGTGCATGTATTACCTCGATCTTGTGATGAAGTTTCATATGAAATCCCAATTTCGATCAAAATTGGGTCGAGAATCGCCACAATATAGCGTCTTTGATATCGTCTATGACAACGGAATCTGAATTTGACTAATTAAGAAAGACAACGACATATGGTAATTACAGTGTCCGTTGTCCCGTATGGCATTTTGATCGGTTAAATTAAAGACTCTATTTCGATGGTAGAACATTATTAACTATACAATGAGCATTAAGACACTTTGATTGATTGTTGTTCCAAAGGAATTTAGTCTAGGTGCTCTGTTAAACACTTCATGAAAATCTAATTGAAGCGACGGTTATGTCCGCGATTTGTGACAACAGTATCTGCATTTACCGTTGTCAGGCTATTCCGGGGTGAGATTGGGGGTTGATGGGGAACAGACATTTCGAAATACCCCGTAGTCGTATTATTTTTAAGTCGATATCCTAATTTATACTTTAAGTATTGCTCAAAAGCATTTACTTAGTATGTCTGATCACTAATTATTTATATAAATGTTTCTGATCCCTTCATAAACGTACACTCAGCAGCATGCTAATCATGATAGACATCTTTATTCTTTTCAACAGATTTCATTGCGACACTACTGATGGGAATTTTCCTTGCATTGTGAATCACTGTCATTTTTTCCAAGATTAATTCAAATCCAGAAATTACCAGTCACTTTCTTTATCAGGAGAGCTGTCAACACATCTGATAAGAAGTGTTCTAAGCAGCTCTAGTGAAACTTGATGCTATGTTTTGGTCTCATACAAGATGCAGCCTACTTGTAAATAAAATACAGTTATCCATGTACGTAATATATGGTTATATATGTGTCTGATCATATAATCTTGAAATTATCCATCAATTTCTTAAGAAATTGGCGAAATTAAGGAAACCAGAAAACACATTTAATGAAAGGGCGGTGTTTATAGGCTGTATCACTATGAAATGCCCCTGCATTAACGCTCACAAAATATGAGTTTTAAACATTAATTTAGTAGACTAAAGTGTTGATACGAAATCTCAGTAATATAGTCCATGGTATGACTTTCGAATATGAAGGATCCGTAGCACACTATAGCGCAGCAACATTTGAAGCAATATTTATGAAGGTGGACATGTCTTGATTCTTTTAAAATACCATTTGCTGAAAAAACTTCCGGCTTTCGGGTCGAAAAATGTATTTCATCACAAGGGGTCAAAAAAAACGTAAATATTTTGATTCGAACTTTTATACATTTTATAAGACACAGACCGTTATTCTAAGCATAGGAACAAGGATAAATTATCATAATTTAAAATATACTATTTAATTTTACCGTAGATGTCGGTGTTCAATTAGTGTAATTATGCAAGTGTGTTTTTCAGATTTTGTTTGATTTTTCAAATATGAGCCAAGCCAATTCAACAAAATTATGTGGAATATTTAGGTAATTTATGATTGGGAACATATTAGTTTTCTTACCATTTAAAACATTTTTTACCAGAATGTTTCCATATAATCGCAAGGGATCTAACAACAAATTATTGTTCATGTTTTACAAAACACAATACAATAACAAATAGGTAAGATTTATATCTAATTAAATGTTACAGAGGTATTGGAATTTTCATTTATTCTAAAGGCACGTCTAATAATCAATTAGAGTCATATGCAATCGAACGCCTTGAAATTCTTCCTCGACGTTACTTGTGGCTATCATCAAGTTTTCTGATGGCTGTTTGTTCTTTTACCTTACCGCTGGATACAATCAAATTCTAGGAAGATAATGATAACGATTTTTCTCAATTATTCATGAATTCGATCAAGTCTTGATGGTTGTGTTATAAGCAACTGAGCTATATCTAACTACGGGAAACAGAATTTTAGCTGCAGTCCCAATTAGTCAAAGAAGAACAATAGGCCCGCCTTTATTGATAATTTTCACCGCTGAATAAAAGTCCATATCTCAAAACGTATTGAGACCCCTTTTGTGAAAAACTAGCATAATTTAAACATTTGTCATTCCAATATAAAAGTGATTCATTTGTAGCATTTATCTTATTAATACCTGAGAAACAATACAAAATGTTGATACACTGATTGCATATTTTTGGGTATTGATAAGAAAAATAACCTCAAACGTATAGCTTAGAAACCTAAATCATATATTTAAAATCATTTTGTTTTATTTTCTGTTGCATTGTGTACTCCAAATTGTGAAAGATTGGGATTTTATTTTTTGGTGATTTTTTTACCTCTGTTAATGGCAGGCATAATTCAGCCTAAAAGCTGGAAGTATACTGAACGGTTATAATAAAAATTATTACGGGACATATGTAGGTTTGTTAATGTAAGGTCAAATATCGCTGCGCTATTGTGTGCTACCAGCTCCTTTATTAGACGTCCTAGAGATTTCATAGCATGGACTAACAGTACCATTTAGGAGATAAGGTGATGTCCGATTTAACATTACGAATGCTGGATATGTTCTGACAAATCTCCCTCAATTTAGTCTTAGATACCTGGAATGAAAATGTGAAACTATTAAGTTTAAAAAACGCATTAAAACGCATTTACATTCTAAAGAATTAAAATCTATCTCTATCATTAAATAATAAATATACATGTATAACATTAACCTTCTTCCTGATTCCAACGCGTGGAAAAGCATCCATGATGAAGATATAGTCCGGCTGATCTCGCTTTATCAGTTCCACCTGACAATGCTCTTCCATTTCATCCTCTTTCATATTCTCGCCTGGTTTAAGGCTGTAAGTATCATTTTAGAACTAAATTTTATACACTAGACCTGTGTGTACACTGTGAATAACGCTTTACTATATCAGTACAATATACACCCTATACAAAGAGATCGCATCCAATGTAATGGTAGAATCTCTTCGCATAGGGTGATATAACTAACTATACGGTAACAATACTCGATGGACTGAATCGAACAGATTTCATACCATGATTTTTGAAATGAATAACAATGATTGAATCTTGTATCTTAGCCTATTTAATTCGAATTCCCCTACAGGCTGCAGCACAAAGGATGAGGTGAAAATAGGTCAGCTCAAGTGAACTGAGGCCCTGGTATACTGTCATTAAGCTTATAAAAATCAGTCTTATTTTTGTAAGTAATCTTACTAGTAAAAGACATGTATACACCACGCTTTAACAACTCAGTACACTAGTGAACATTTTAAACATTTTTAACGTATTCCTGGGCCTCAGCAAGTGAACATCATTTAAAGAGAAAATCAGATCTAGCGCGATCTGGTTCATGTCATGCCTTTCATGTCCGTTTTCTAAAAAAAACAAAGTGCATACTTTATTTCAAGAAAACTAAAGTTTTTTCAGAGTAATGTATTATTTTTCTAATAAATGGTTACCATCCATATTATTTGGGAGAATTAAACATTTTTCACCCATTTTTGCACTTTGAATCCATAGTAACTTCACCAATTTATAACATATCGTGAATCTTTTGGAATAGTAAGGAATAGATTGGTAGGTCAACTGTACATATTGCTTGTAACTTTGTCATCCCTATAGATCTGATTCTGCCTTAATGTTTGATTTATTTGTGATTCATATTAGGATAAACAACGTCGTATATACTTTAAATATACAAAAACATGTCCAGGAAGCAGCTCGAGCAAACCCAAATCGTTGATTTTTATATCGTTCCGATCTATTGTGATTCATGACAACATTTAGGAAAACAAAGATGTCTTAGAAATAAAGTATTTATCACATGATCAAATTACATTCTTACATGATTTGAAGGTAATGACGGAGACTTGTACACGTCGTAAAATGGTATGATAGAACATATACATATAGTAAATACGATCTGATACATAATATAAGGATAACTTACATAATACAGAGAAATATGTCATCCCCCATACAATCATCAGCTTTCTTAATGCCCACACACTTAAAGAAAATAGTATACATGAATTTACATCGAGATGCCAGTTTCATAAATATCACGTTTATAGAGGGATAAATGCAGACAAATATGAATGATATCTAATATATACAAAATGACAGACGTGGACCGTTGTGGATTGGGATTAGTTCGAGTCCATGAAGAAGGTTGATCGTCATTATAAACCCAGGTGTAGAGGGGTAGGAGCTCCTATCAAATTATGGTCCTACTCTCCATTGATTTGTATGGTGAGCTCTTTCCCTTATTATCTTACTTACGCTTATACACAGTCAGGGACAGTAAGGGCCATTAAGAAGGGGGACCATGAGCCCCGGGGGACCATAATTTTTTTCACAACGGGTATAAATCCAATTCAATATAACATAATTCGGGTGTCCCAAAAAAGTGAGACACTTTTTTGACATTTTCTCAGCAGTTGATAAACCAAATTCACTGAAAAGAAGCACAAAGTAGCCCAGGAGTATCGTGAGCAAGTTACAAAAATATATAAATATCAAGTAAATATTATGTGAGCACTAAGAAATTCAAGAAAGCATGTAAAAAGCGCAGAGCAACGGAATGAGAACTTCATGTATCAAAAATGGGAAGCAATTTGACAAGTAATTTCTCAGTAATAGATACGCCAAATTTTTTGAAAACGTTATTTGTGACACTTTAGGACATCTTTAGCTAGTGCATGAATATGTAAGAGATTGTCCAAAATCAATGCAAAAGCTTAAGTCACTTATTAATCCACTACCAAGCAAAACTATCTTTCCATATTTATTCTAACAATATCACCTCCAATATATTTTGAGAATGAATGGATTTTGGAACAATGATATGGATCTTCAAACCAGTCTGCCTTATGATTTATAAAATGTTTAATTTATTACCCTTGGAATAAATAAGATTGTGTATTAGAAAGCGGATACGAGGTCAACCTAGCTTCTAGCCCATCCAAGGAAAACAATATTACATCTAGCTCAGAAAATAAGTGTCAAAAAGTGTCTTACTTTTTGGGACACCCGATATATTACAAGTTTCACCCTTTGATTGTGTGTAGTCATTTGACGACATTTTATAGAATTGGTAGACGTTGAACGGTATAAAGTTGTAGTCAGTCCCCCTCTTCTGTTCAGAATAAATATGTCTCATAGTTTACGCCTTTCTCATACAATGTAGTTTATCATTTGTACAAAATAATCATATATAATTATAATTATATTTTTTTCTTTATTGTCTTTAGCCTTACTTTGATTACTATCGTGTGAGGTAGCTCATCTGACATTATATTAAATCGTACATTTTCCCGTGGAGTTGACCAACGCCAGGTATTGCTTATTGTGATAGGAATCTTCAATTCCTCGTGACTACGCAAAATCCACAACCGCATGTTTTCGCAGGTTTTTGGTCGCAGTCGCTCCGACGTCGCCTTGAAAAATTACTCATCGCTTCCGCAAAAATTGCTCTTGCGACGTCGCTGCGACTGCGATCGGCTTGCGTTAGTTTGATGAATAAGGCCCCGTTTCACCCCGTTATACCTGTGCCTCTGCTACTTTGTTGTGCTTTTGAGCTGCGGCCTCAATTACGCCTGGATAGATAATGTCGCCCATCTTCTTGAATCTTATATTATCAGCTTTTCGCCCAATGAAATAAAGGAACCCATTCTGATCCATTCTCGCAACATCACTAATGCAATAAAAAGAAACAACTAGTTAGTTAACTTTAGTTATCTCGATTCACTTTTGAAATCGACTTAAATATGACAAATTTTTACTGAAGTCCATGAGGGAGAACCAAAAAAGTAACCCTTAAAATCCATCCATAAAATCGGCACGGTTGGAAACAGACAAATTAAACTTTTCAGAATGAAAGAACATTAAACAAGTTTCAATCGTGCAAAATATGATCTTAAACCCATGCTGGATGACTGAGTTATTAACATTTGGGTTACTTTTTGGCTGACCCTGTATATCTTCCATTGTATTATTTTGTAGATTGACGTAATGAAGTTAGCAAAGTGTTCCCAATATCGTGCGATATGTAATATAAATCGAACAACTTACCCAGTTCTGTACCAACCGTCTTCATCCTTCACTTTTCTCGTTCTCTCAGGTTCACCCATGTACTCAATGAAGATAGAGGGTGACCGCGTATACAACTCTCCGGGTTCCCCAATGGGAACTACGTTATGTTGGTCGTCTATAAGCTTTACCTGTTAGGAAAAACAAAAAGTTCGATGTAATCGTTTGGTTTTTCTTGAATAAACAAGTGATGGAACCCCCGTAACATTACCTAGTAAAATAACCAATGGTGATCCACTTGATTACGCTTTTATCACAAGCGTGTGTCTGTATCTTATTATGTAAAAGAAAATGTACATGTTTGCGAACAAATAGTTGAGAAGACAACAGAATCTTCGATTTAATACCTCACTATTATTACGTAAACGGAACGGGTTAGAAGTGCAGATTTTAACCGTTTTTTGATGTTCTGTGTACGTAACAAAAGTAAAGTATTACATCGACGATTCCGCTGTCTTTTGAATTATTTGTTCGCAAACATGTACATTTTCTGAAACATATGATACAGACACGTTTGAGATAAAAAAAAAACTGTCGTGGGAATTCTGCCCACAATGCGAGAACTAAGGAAAAAGAAAACGAAAGAAAAATCGTACCTTCGAGGTTCTGACATTTTGTTACCGAAACGAACCTTTTCGATAACCAGCGTTGTCGAGTGGACCACCATTTGAAAGGTACGTGAGATTGTACAGACATATTACAAAACTTATGGAACAATATATTGAAATGCACAAATTCACATATGTCGCACTAAAAATCAAAACAACGTATTCGGACACAAGGTGACAAATAAGTAGACTATATAAAATGTAAAACAGAGTGTTCCCGTACCTCTACACGTGCAAGTGGAAATCCAATGGACTTCAACCTCCTCTCCATTGCAGGATCGTCTTTAAAGTTTCCAGTGACCATGTTTGTCTCTGTTGACCCATATACATTCTGAAGAATTGCAGAACAAAATATCAGATATTGAGCATCATCCAATCCATTCTGAAAGCTGATTCATTACATAACCCGTCTTGCAAATTGAGATGGCTAAACGAGATGAAACTTGCTAGGGTAGTCTCAACGATCATACCGTTTTAGATTTTAGAATTTAGGATTATTACCATGAAATCAGGAACAAGTGCTGTAAATGATTTCACCGATTCAACGCCTAATGCCTGAGAACCCGTCAATCCTAAAATGTAAAGTGGTATGTATAATGATAATACATAATATTATGTTTGAACCCGAGTTTCTTCGCTTCCCGGGCTTCGAATTCGCTAATGCCTTCAAGGATACAAATGTTCTTCCTAATCCATTCAATGCATTCCGATTAATTCATGGTTGACTTTCTATATGAATTTTATTCCTGAGCATCAATCAATTCATCAATCATGAACAGACCAAAATGTGTTCCATGTATACAGAGTGTCTTCACGGAAAAGTGACAGGAAGAACCTACCCCCTTTTAGTCTTGACAGGTCATGCCCAACTATTGGACCATGAAGTATCATATCCTTCCACATGTAAGGCCAAAGGTCTGCGTGTGTTATCCCATACTTCTCAATGGCGTCAACAATCACGTCACTAGCTCCTTTACATTGCCTATTGACAGGAGTTACAACACAAGTAACATCGCTGTTAACTGTTGCGGAGATTATACCCAAAACGCACAGCACGTCATCGTGCAAGGGATTTTCTATACCCAGTACAACCTTATAATCAAAGACACATCACGTAACAGACGTAGTACGATTTGACTGAGTACATGTTTAGATAAAAATCATGATGTAGACATGTCATTGGCGTAGCCAGGTAGGAGTCAAGCGAGACAGTTGTCCCGCTAAAAACAAGAAGCACATTTTATGACTGTCATTGTCGCAATGTGAAAGAAATAATGGTCCCCTAGGGATTATGGTCCCCTCTCTTAACGGCCCGTATTTTCCCTGATTGCGCATAAGATAATAAGGGAAAGATGTCACCATATAAATCAATGAAGACTATGACCATATTTTGAAAGGACCTCCTACCCTTTTACACCTAGGTCATGGTACTTCATTTCCAAGTGAATTTCATATACAGTGCGTATCAAAAAAAATGCAACAGATTGTTATCTCGGAAAAGCACAAAATCAGTGATAACAGCATTGATTTCATTCAATGTACCATTAAGCCATGTGTCTCCTCTTTACAATGATATATCATTCATTGATATTTGGTCATGGTTGGGCGAGTAATCATTCCATTTGCAAAGTGGACCAAAATGAACTTGGGACCAAGTTATAAACATCACAGAAGTTAGTGTACCAATGGAATATCATTAGTTAGTGTTGCAATGGAATATCATTCATTCACAGGGAGTCATGGCTGGCCGAATAATCATTAATTTTACAAAGTGGGGCAAGATTTAGCTCGGACCCAAGTTTTAAACATTGCAAAAGTCAGTACAAGGGGCTTAGGGGCTATTGGGAGAAGGTATGACAGGTGTGGCATAGACAGAAAAGACTGTTCATACTAGTCTAATACTCTTGCAAGAATACATACTATATATACCCCTCCAAATTGCCAACACTTCCTTGCACATAAAGATGCGCTCATCTGTCCACGTCATGCATGGTTCAGCCCTGAGTCATCTGTGGGTTAAAGCTGAGAAAAACAGCCCATGGGCAATTCTTTCTCGAGGTTTTGTAATCTCTGGTGGAGAAATTGTGAGCACAGATGCTCCTGAGATAGCTTCAAAAGAAAAAGTCACAACAATTCAAGTCAGGGGAACTTCCATTGGCACTTAGCCCTTGCACTGATTTTTGCAATATCTAAAACTTGGTGCAGAGCAGATTTGGACCCACTGTGCAAATGAAGTATGTTTCACCCAACCATTACCACATGTGAATGAATGACATACAGTAACATATCATTGCAAAGAGGAGAGACGTGGCTTTATGGTACATTGAATGGAATTGCTGTAGTCATCACTAGTTTTGTGATTTTACGAGATAAGTAGTTGTTGCTTTTTTTGAAACGTCTTGTATATTTACGACTTGACATACGACTTAACACATCATGGTAGAAGACATTGTCCACAGAATCAATGTTACACACAAACGTTTACATACCCTCCCTTTTGCATTTCTACGGTGCTGGAAACTGTACGATGTGTTCACCATACTACTGTGTCCATGCAGCACTGCCTTTGGTTCTCCAGTTGTTCCCTGTTAATTCAAAACGTAGTGATCATATTTGATGAAGTTAAGAAACGAATCAATCTGCGTTCAAGCACTTGGTTTCCAAAGTATGGTATCGAGGACTCTGAGTACCAATTTTCACGGTAGTTTGTCATTTTTCCTGTAAAAATACGTTAGGTTGGCAGGTATGAGCTATGATATTTTAAACGACTTGAACAAAGTCCAAGATCAATCACAGATACACTTACAGTAGATGTGAAAACTATACAAGGATCCTCGGGTGAGACCATATTTTGGACTACTGATAATTGCTTATCAGTTGTACTGGTCTCTGCAAAAATATCACGCAATCCCTTGTCTCCATTACAACCATATACAACTACTGCACAGAGTGAAGGAACTTCAGGCATATGGTCAAATGTGTTCACACTTCCACTTCTTACAAGCATATTTGGAGCGATTGTCTTCAGCGCTTCAGTCAGTGACGTGTTTCGCTCATTTATGATAAGCATCTTTGCGTTTACTTTATTTATGATCTGTTTCAGAGATATATGTTGTGGTTCGTACATGTAAGGCTAAAAATAGAAAACACTATTATTCATTTGCATTTAAAAATAAAGAAATCAAGGGACTATTGTCTTAGCTGTTTCCGCAATGAGCAATGGTATTTTGGCTCGACTATGATCCATATTGACATCTATTTTTATCCATCTGTAGAGCAGGATATCTACATGTATTGCACTTGAAAATCTATCATTCTTAGTAAGAAGTCAACAGTAGAGATATTTAAAACGACAAAGACCAATATAATTTACCCTGCGCGCAGAGTCTAGTTATAAACGACCCTCTGCCTAGCATCGACTTTATTACAGTTTAGCAGCCCCCCCCCCCACGGCCGATGCAAAGGGTAAGTATCATTATGTTACGTATCGCCACACGACTATAAATGTTAGTCACCACAACTATAAATGCTAGTCGCCACAACTATAAATGTTAGTCGCAACAACTATGAATGCTAGTCGCCACAATTATAAATGTTAGTCGCCACTGGGCGCATTTTTTACCATCAAAAATACGGCACCAATGCTGACGATGGCGTAGAAGAGGGTGGCGAAGTCTGTCCCATGGCCGCAACTGACAAGGATAACATCACCTTTGGTAACACCTTGGGCAAGCAAACCCTTTGCCAACATTTTCACCTACAAAGTATGAGAGTTTGGAGTTTGGAGTTCGGAGAATTGAGTTAAAATACAGATATAAAAACAGCAATATCCGATTATTAAACTTCTGTAATATACCATGAAACTCATATGTATTCTTAACAATACTTTTAGTTATAGTATTCAAAAGTTGTAATGAAAGGACAGTCAAAGTGTATTGAGAAGTGAATGGGTATAATTAGTTCAGCTTCACTGCACTGCATGTAACAGGCCAGGTACAGTTTAAAATTTGGTTTCTTCTGAATTTACTATTCAACTATTGAATGAGTGAATGGGGTGTAACTAGATCAGCTTTAGTGCATTGCATGTGACAGGTAATCGTCTTTTGTGCAACACTGATTTTGGATAGCTTGCCAACTGTCAATTCTTTAAAAGCAATGGAAAAAGAATGAACCATTCTTTGTTACGACTGTACATATAAGCTACAGTTCATTCGATATTTTTGCTACCTAATGCCTTGGTCTCATTTGCTCCAATTTCCACTACTGCGCCCAGCCGATTGAGTATTTTGTTCAAAATTGAATACAAATCTTAACAAAACAATCGGCCGGGCGCCGGCCGATGGATCGGAACAAATGTGACCCAGGCACTAGTGGGGTTTAATTTAAGGGAAACCGAATGTACATTACCTGATGTGACAGCTCACTGAATGTAACATGAACATCAGAGTCTGCATATATAACTGCAACGTTGTCAGGGGTTTTCTTCGCTGCTCGTTTCAACGCATTTCCAAGGCTGAATTGTAATAATGGAAATGTACAATCCCCTTTAACATAGCTTTCCTTTAGTCCACTACACAACACCACATCCCTTAGAAAAAGATTATGAAACATATAGTTAGTAGTACTACGATGTATATCGTTTGAAATACACTGATTTTTAATTGTAATACGAAATTGAACTTAAACAGATGCCTCTACAGGGTGGGCCAAAAACGTCCACATTTTTGTTTTGCTACAACGTTGTTGATATTATAGACAAATGCATAAAGCATATATCATTGGAAAGACAATTCAATTTCCAACAAAATGATATATAATTCATTTAATAGAAGTGATTATTTGTCTAAGAATATCATTTCGATTACCACAAGTGTCAAAATCAAGATTTACCGATTGCTGAATCAAAAAAATGCTAAGAACTGACCAGACAGATATAACCCCTATGTCAGATTTGGGGATATAATTCTAATTATAGAATGTCAGAATTGTTGATTTATGTATCAAATTAAAGCAAAATGATTTACAAATGCAATATCATTGAGATATTTCACTATTTCGATAGGTATTGGTTATAATTTAGCTCAAATAATGTAGTGTCTGTCTCAAATATTTGGATATTTACTCAAGATATTTTGGAGATATTGCCTATTTAAGGCTAGAATTATCATGAAATGGGCAATAATGATGTTGTACTTATATAACTTAAATGACATCTTAAATGGCAGACAATGCAATTATAGACACCAGAAAGGAGATAATGGATATTGTCTATATCATGGATTATGGCATTATTTCAACTGAGTCTCTTGGCAAAACATATTTGAAGCAAATATCAAATTGAATGTATCTAACTATCTAACTTCATAACGAACTACAATGCATAGAAATAGGTTCCATGATTATTTTAGAGCTACAAAATGATTCACAAACAATAAAACTCAACTCCAATACTTTTTCTTTATATGTAAAAGCCTAAAAGTGTTGACCAAGCAATGCAATATTATGCAATAAGCTCAAAACATAATAGCAAACTCTTGTTTTCGACGGTTGCAACCTGATGATACGGAAAATCCCATGGAGCCATTAATAGTCAATTATATTTTATGAATCATACATCATTTTGTTGGAAATTGAATTATCTTTCTAAAGATTCGAATTTATTGATATTTCAAACATATCAGCAACGATATTTCAAAAATAAAAATGTGGACGTTTTTGGCCCACCCTGTATGTATACATAGTGCATATTCCAGCGAATTGTGGAATTCAAACCTAGAAAAAATAACGGTGGCACAAAAAAATGCAAAAAGTACTACTAACATTAAAAACCGAAAGGCGGTCAACTTGTCCCTCCCCTCTAGACAGTACAGGCTGTATAGCTTTTTTGGCTAGAGAGCCTTTTTAAGCTTCTTTAAAGATATGCTATACAGATATGTAGGTCAGTATTACATAATCGTGAAATGAATAAGTCTGAATATATCATTGGTCAGAAAATACTAAAACCTGCTTGAAACTGTAAAAGTTTATACACTCTATTCCACACTGTATAGAAATAAAATAACTTACACTACTAGTAACTGTGAGCCAATCATTGCATAGAAAAAACTTTATGCACTGTTTATAAGATTCACTGAGACAAGTGGGTCAATACTTCGTGTACTTTATGTGCTCTCACACAATTACCTTCCCTTGCATAAAGTTGCTGTAGAGTTATATGTAACTGAATATTGTATATTCATCACAAACAACCTTAGCAAAATGATGGTTCGATGAAATGGACGGTTCGCTAAAACCAATAAACCAGGCAATTCAGGCCAATTTGGAAAGAAACTAGATAGCGTGATAGTGAATGAGGATAGTAAGTGAAATAAATTTTGCAAAGGTCAGCTTGTAAACTACTGGGTAACCCTAAATGATGAGAAATATGTACAAAATATGTTTTGCATGATTTATTCATATCCCAATGATTTAACTCCTTCACTGCATCTAATAAGGTATATACGAGGGTTGATCCAAAAGTTCTCCACCGTTTTATCTAAAAAAATTATTTCTTGGTGAATTTTGTTCAGACTTGGTCAGAAGCAACATGAATATGATAGCTTGGTATTGTATTAATATCATTGAAAAAATATAATATTAACTATGTCATTTGGTTACCATAGTAACAGGACAACGAGGAAGGCGGAGCTGAATAAAATCACTGTTTATTACAATTTTTTGTCAAACAACATGGTATTATTACAGAGTTTTAACCAGGGGTTTTAACATTAATGAAGGCTTTTATTTGATGCAATATCAAAGTTCATTCTCCTTCAAAATGGTCCCCACCATGGGCTATGCATTTATTGCATCATTTTATCCAATTATTGAACACATGCCGAAGTCCATTCTCAGCGACTGAATACACACTGTTGGTAAAAGCTACAATCATCGACTCATCATCTGCAAAACGAATCCCACGGAGGGGCTTCTTAGTGTAGCCAGTACTGTGGAGATGGATTGGATAGGCCAAAGAAGACAAAGGTACAGAAATCTACATCTAAAGTGATGTTTATCATCTTTTTCGACATCCACAGAATCATCCTCGTTCACGCCGTGTCAACTGGAGTTACTGTGAATTCTGCATATTATTCAAAGGTAAGTTGTGAATCCCAGGTTTTGGACCCGACTTGGACCCTGTGTTTTGGACACATGACTTCTTCAATGTCTTAGTTGATAAAATATGCCTTTCCATGGTACCTTCATAGTTATACAATATGGCATGTACATGTATTTGGGTCTATTCGTGATAATAGAAAATGAACTGAGGTATCATAATTGATGTGTTTCAGTTACTAAGGAAGAATCTGAAAGATGCCATCAGGAGGAAGAGGCCAGAGCTTATTGCAGATGGCTTCCACTTCCATCGTGACAACGCCCCTGCCCACAGAGCTAACATTACAATTGAAGTTATACATGAGCATTTACAAGCAGAACTTGTCAAGCATCCCCCTTATCTCCCAGATACAGCTCCCTGTGACTTCCACATATTTCCTGAAGCTAGGAAGCCCCTCCGTGGGATTTATTTTGCAGATGATGAGTCGCTGATTGAAGTTTTTACCAACAGTGTGTATTCAGTCGCTAAGAATGGACTTCGGCATGTGTTCAATAATTGGATAAAACGATGCAATAAATGCATAGCCCATGGTGGGGACTATTTTGAGGGAGAATGAACATTGATATTGCATCAAATAAATGCTTTCATTAATGTTAAAACCCCTGGTTAAAACTCTGTAATAATACCACGTTGTTTGACAAGAAATTGTAATAAACAGTGATTTTATTCAGCTCCGCCTACCTCGTTGTCCTGTTACTATGGTAACCAAATTACATAGTTAACATTATATTTTTTCAATGATATTAATACAATACCAAGCTATCATATTCATGTTGCTTCTGACCAAGTTTGAATAAAATTCAACAAGAAATAATGTTTTTAGATAAAACGGTGGAGAACTTTTGGATCAACCCTCGTAGATACTAATTACGGGACATTTAGGAATTTTAAAGTGACTAGACCAAAGCAAGCATGTTTGAGATTTTAATGATTTTAAATAAATTACCACTTCATTATTTGCTTTTAGACATTCAATCAGTTTTATTTGTCCAACAAACCATATTCACAATTGTTCAATCCAACGAAGATTAGGGGATAAGCTATAGAGACCCCTCCATTTGTCCGTCTATACATCCTTCAACTAGACAACAGCAACACCAAAGTGTAGCAAATCCCATCGAACAGCCATGGCTGGCATTTTTTTACAAACAAAGTATACAGCAAAAATGGCAGCCATTTTTCAAAACGGCCACCTTCTACCAAAAGTGTCATTAGACAGTGTGCCACGCTTATAGTATTCACGCATCAAATATGAACAAAATCGCTCTACTACTTTTTGAGTTATAGTAAAATACGGCCATTTTTCAAAATGGCTGCCTTCTACCAAAAGTGTCATTAGACAGTGTGCCATGGTTATAGTATTCACATACCAAATATGAACAAAATCACTCCACTACTTTTCGTGTTATAGTAAAATACGTTAAAATGGCCGCCTTCTACCAGAAGAGTCATTAGACAGTGTGCCATGCTTATAGTATTCATATACCAAATATGAACAAAATCGCTCTACTACTTTTCGAGTGACAGCAAAAATCGTAAAATAACGAGTAAAGGCCGCCATAGTTCAATTCTTTGAAGCAAATGATTCTAAAAGTACAACATATCTTTGAAAAAATATCATTCTGTTAAATGAAATTGTAAAAAATATTTTGCAATGTGTGAAATTGAATTAAAGCACATGATTCAATGAATAGTGGATGCTTCAATTCACTTATGTCTTCTAGTCTAGGCTTTGAATTCGGACTACCACCCTCGTTCATAGTCTAGAATCAGGACATATGTTAAATTTAATCATCTACAATCCATTGAGTCATTGGCTTAAATCCTATAATATAATATGCCTATCAATATAATATGTAATTATTTAAGTATCATCTCAATGCTTTAATTTTAATAGAATTATTTTAATATTTTACTAACTGTATAATATGTAGTTTGCATTACTGTTGATAAATAAATAAATGATTGCACTGTTCAGTAAAGAAATATAGCAATTGTATGATTTAAACTGACTATACACTATAGAAATGATTTTCATTGAAAAATCAAATCAGTACCAAAATTATGGTTACCCTGTAGTAGTGAAAGGCACATTAGAAATGAATATCACCCCCTTCAATCTATTTTAACAGGTTTTTATGATTATTTCAGATTTTTCTATAGTTTGCGTAACCAGGACGGTGAATATTTTCTTCATTTTTCATCAAACATTTCGTCTTATCAATATTTATTATATCTGTCAATTTTATCAAAATCGCGCCGCTACGTTTGAAAATAATTCAAATTATGTAGTCTTTCCCATTGAGCTCCATTATAAAAATGGAATTTTCAAACTTAATATTTTAAAATTCTACGTGGTGAAAAGTTGCATATTGAGAAGTTAGTTAATGTTATGGTGTTAAAAATTGAAAACAAAAATGAATAAAGAAAAAATGCCACAGAGAAGTCTCAATAGAGTATCTTTAAGGTTGAAGTTTTTGAGGCTCGATAGGACACAAATTTCCAAAGTGATTTGAACTCTCAAGCTCCACGTTGTTTACTACTACTATTCATGCGGATAAATGAATGCTGTTTTAAAAAAAAGCTATTTATGTCTCGACTCTTTACATTATATAAAGTACCCTTAAAAGTACCATTGACACGGATCAGAATCGAAACTACTTGTTTTGCACTTGTTCCCAACATTACTATAATAGCACCATCATCAACATTTTGAGTCACGGTAATTATACTTTACAGCATGTCATGTATAAACAAACATACAGCAAGTAGCAAATGAATGATCAATTTTCTATATTGTGTTTTTAGACATTTGATTTGATAATTTGTTATTTTGATTTGAATGATTTGGCCACATTAAATTAACTTGAAAATGAAACTTACTGAGAGTGGAACCATTCCATTTTTTCATACGTCCAGATCCAAATGTATCCTGTCTGTCCTGTCGCGAACACTGTATATAGTACCTTCAAAATGTTCAAAGTGAATTGAACTTTCAAACTCCACGTGGATTACTACTATTCATGCGGATGAATGGATGCTGTTTTAAAAACCTATTTATGTCTCGACTCTTTACATTATATAAAGTACCATTAAGGCTCAAGTGGAAAGTAACAAAATGCTATACCTGCACATGTTATTTCTGGTACAAAATTAAGTATGAAGGCAGTATTCCCTAATATGCACCCATAATACTGAAAATAATCTTGGTTACGAGTTGTCTTGGGTACCAGTTGTCTTGGGTACGAGTTGACCAGTTACCGTGATTATACTACCTAAAATTTCAACGAATAATAATTATCACCTTGATTTACTTAAAATGTAATATTTGGAATTATCACAAAATATTCCCGCCATTCTTAAAGCGATGCCCGTCATGAAAATCTTTTTTTGCGTACAACAATAATTTACCAACAAAAAATAAACTTATGATTGGTTTAAGTATTTTAAGCCTTGGACTCAGTGCAATGTGGAATGACCATTCCTTGAAGGTGTTGCTCTCCATTTGCACGAGATGCGTAGCATAGAGTGTTAATTTAGGAAACAAAGCCTAAAAGGAATGGTTATTCCACAAAGCATTGAGTCTTGGGCTTAAATTCTTTTCACACATTGCAAAATATTTTCTACGATGTCACTTAAAAGATACGATCTCACTGAGAGAACACATTTCCATTGACACTTTTTGAAAGGGTCAAGTTGGCAATACATCATTTTCCAATCAAAGAGTCCAAGTAATCACCTTGACAACCACATAAGAAATGAATGGAATCGGACACATCTTGCATAGCTTGTGAATAAATGAGGGTTACGTACTGGGAGGTTTTGGATACAGGGTTTATCTCAAGGGAAATATGTGTATCTGCCGGGGGACCGAGGGAGATACACATATTTCCCGAGGGATAAACTCTGTATCGTAAATCGTAAATTGACTTTTTAGGAGCGGGGCCGGGATGGATACAGCCTGTATCCATCCCGGTCCCGGACCTTGGCGATAGCTCCTTAGATCCCGCTCAGTATGTGCCTAGACCCTCAGTGGGTATGGAATACACAACTGTACAATGTACGTATATCGTATTTATGCAAGTTTTGCCACTGTTAATCCTATGTACTATGTATGTGTCCTGTCTGTTGAACCTGAATCTGTATGTGTTATTTGTCGATTGCCTATTATTTTGTCCAATCAATTGGTATTGTGCGTTGTTTTGTCCTGGTGAATCACGAGCTTCTTCCGTTTGCCTGCTATGCGTGTTTGTACCGTTTCTCGAACGTGACCGGCATATTCCCTCCAAATACCTATAGATACGGGTACGTTCTATCCAATTTCGCTCTCTTTTATATATAAATACACAAAGCAGACCTATGACGATGCCAAAAAGCACTAGTACAATCCCCGTCAGCACATTTATCTTAACCGTGTCGCTCTGGAATTCAGATAGACATGTTTTGGTATCGTTTGACTGAGGCAACGTGACGTTTTCTTTTATTGGTGGTTCATCTATGATATTCTTAGGTACAATGCTTATGTCGGGCTCCAAGGCGTACACATCGTAACCATGGTTTCCCTCCGTTCTTTTGTAATTGAACTCATAGTCTCCATTTGGTAATTTTTCGCAAGTTCTGAAATTACACTCGACAGATGTCGAACTGGAACTGCTAAAATAGTTAATTACATTGACGCCTTTTGTTTCAAACGCAAACAACATACACTGTCGCAAGTCTTTAGCCGCATATATTGTCTTGGAATCACCACACTTCGACTCAAGGTGCTCAGCCCTCATCCTTTGTAATCTAAATATAACTGAGCCATTAAGGTTTGGCGTTCCGGGTGCTGGTAGTATAAGCCATCCTGTATTTGATTCAGGTTTTATGTACGCGTTTTTGGGATGAAATTGCCATTCTGTGCCTTCATCGTTTAGCTTACATTTGTGTGTTACATATTTTGAATCTTGAGGAAGGTACTGATAATTATTAAAACCAGAATCACAAAATGCATCAGGAATGAAATTGGTATTTTTGAAATCTCCCTGTGATCCACAATGGTCGCCTTTGGATGGAAAATGCAACGGTATTATAACCGTCCCATTAGGTATATATATGTCATGACATGGTTTGGACAGATGGGCGAGAGAGTAAACATCCATGCGACCGGCATCAGCTGACAGTTTCGCTTTTATGTCATAATCGTTTTCCTTGGGATTCCATTCACAATACATTGTTTTACACCAATGTTCATCCATCTTGTCACCGGCGTCATGGTCAAAGCTGAACGTATTAACCTTATCCATACAAGCCGTTGCTTTGCAGTCAGATATGTTTTCCACTGATACTTTATTTATCATGTCACATTCAGATTCAACATGTATGCCATATGTTCTTCATGTGAATTGTGAGTTATAACACAAGGAATTTGGATTTGATCGAGCATACGTCTTCCCATTAACACTCTCTCTATTTCCCCATTTATAATCATAATCCTGTTCATACGTGTTGAACTCACATCGGTATGCAGAGCACTCCTTTCCATGTACGAAGTAAACCACGTTTGCCCCTACATCACAGGCAATCTTAAAACAATGTTCAGGCGTCTGGGTCTCAGGTGAGGATTGAACTCCTAACACCTTTTCACATTCAGGGGCAACGCTTTTCTGTCCATATGATGATTTCTGTTCCCGTGTTAACAGAAACTCCCTGGGATGACATATACATGTATCTATAAAGAAAAGTAGACACGCATAACTATTGGAGTGGTTATGACATTTATTCACTGTGCATAGCAAACATATGTTGAAGGAAATTGTGAATGAATTTGGCTATGAGAATAGATGGACCCTTCCAGGTTTGACAACAACGAATTCCTCATTTGATACCTTGTTGATGGGTGTTGTATAAAGGTTGGATTCTTAATTTCGCTCCTCCGGATCCGTTACAATATATACATCATATACAGGGTGACCCAAAAAATGCAGCCCTCCATTTCTTCAATATTTTTCTTAAATGGTGGTAAATTGCTCTGAGATTTGGCACACAAGGACTTCATTCAATTTGGGATCCTCTGGCAAAGTTTTAATAATCATAGTCTTATATTGTTAGAGTTAGGGTTGTTTGAAAATATGCTCCAGATGTCGTCAATTTCGCTGAAAACAAACTTGCAATGTTCAAGGAAAACTGTTCATAACACGGATGCATTCTTCCCCATGGGTATGGCTCAAATTTTTGCATCCATTGCTTGTTGGAGTTCTGCAATTGCAGTAGGGTTATTTTCATACACATTATCCTTTAAATAACCCCATATATAGAAGTCAGGGGCATTGAGATCAAGACTGTGGGATGACCATGGGTTCTCCATCCTAGGAGAGATAATGTTCTCACAGAAATGACTAGTGAGCCAGGCTATGCTATTATTAGAAGTGTAAGGAGTAGCTCCATCCTTCGAGAACCACTGTTCTTGTACTTCCTGGGAACGCCAATATTGTGCTGTGTGTTAACAGTAACAGTGTTGCCATTATCAACCTCAAACCAAAATGGGCTGATGATTTCATATTTGGAAATTGGCAGCCCAAGCTGTGCATTTAACAGAAATAAGGGGCCTTTGAAGCACTTCCTCTGGAATTTGTGATCCCAGAACACATTATTTCTTGAGTTTACATGTTCAGAAAGGAGGGAATGTGAGTCTCCGAAAACCTAACATTGGAAATGGCCGACATTTGGAGCATATTTTGGAACGACCATATTTCTATCAATATAAGACTATGATTATTGACACTTCGCCAGAGGACCCCACATTGAATGAAGTCCTTGTGTGCCAAATTTCAGAGCAATTAATCTCCATTTAAGAAAAATATTGAAGAAATGGAGGGTTGCATTTTTGAGTCACTGTTGTATATAGTACTATGAAATACATGCCTTTGATTTTGTTGGAAATTTCAACTAGGTTAAAAAGGGAATTTTCTGTTGCCAAACTTTTGAAAGGGAATGTAATAATACGTTTTAATATAATAAACATTGTTAATATAATAAACTTTGTTTTGTCTAGTTATAACAAAAATTTCCATTGGCCTATGTATTAGTGTCATCCATCAAGGTGCTCTATGAATACAAAGATTTTCTCGCTAAAAGGCAAATTGCTCCTTCTTTAAACTTACCTGTTGACTCTGTTGATGGACCGTGATCGGCTGAAGACAATGTTGCTATAAATCTAATTTACTTTTTTCTATAAATAACCAACAACTTTGTTCTGGGCTAAAATACGATTTATTAATTAAATAATTATAATATAAATGCAAACACAATTAATACGAAGATACACACAATAAAATTAAAAACTATTAACCGCCCCCTGTGTTGTATTCCTTCAATAAATTAAGGGTGGGGAGGGTTGGGTGATTTTTAAAATTGCACAACGCGCATGACGGAAACATTTACAGTACATGTGCACAGGTAAGTAAGTACATTGAATTTCACAGGTAAGTATAGATGTCATACTAGGATGAGAACTATCCAATAGATCAAAATAAACTTCAATTTATGAATATAAATACACATATATAACAAGTAAACATTCACTTTCATCTTACGATCGGTAACGTGGAACTAACTGTAGATCCTTGTCATTACATGTCTGTCTGTTGTGAAATACTGAGTCACGATTTCCTCATAAACAAGCATATTTAGTTTGTGTCTGCATATCTGAAAGGTCATTGACCCCTGTGAATCATAAAACCTTACATTTCTTTCGATGAAATCATACCAATAGATATTTTTCAAACCATGTACAGGTTGCTCCAAAATACCTTATTTTAACGAATGATTTTTTGCAAACTCCGAATACTCCTACGTAACTTCTACTGAATTAATTAATTTGTTATATAATTGCATTTTGTTGTAAAACATTTTCTTGATAAATGATCGATATATTTTAGGATATATATGATAAACGAATTAGAATATTATGTAATACAAAGTTTTAGTCATTTAATAGGACACGCAGTACACATGTTGGACTGGGCTGGACTCGAATGGTGCATGTGGTAAATGAGCTAATTTTAGTAAATTGTGTATTTAATAAAATAAAACGTACAAATAGTATGTTATAACTTTCTAATCTCGATGTATAGATATATTTACGTTTTCTGGAGCACCCTGTATAGCAAATCTTGACTCTTGGCCCTGAACGTAACTAAACTATGTTTAAGAGGAGTTGACAACTTTAAAGTCAACATTTATATAAGATAAGTGTTGACGAATTGATCAAATCTTTCTTAATCATAGAAGTTTAATCTCACTGTTATATTTCCAAGAACAATACCTAAAAATAGTTCTTTCCAAAAGCTGAGACATCTGATTCATTTTAGCACTCATTTAATGAAATGTGAAACCACGAATTTATTAATGATGTATCTTATCTTATATTTATTAAGTGACAGTATGGTGATGTCATTTTTAATGATAAAATAAGAGAACTTAAGGCATAATAAATATTAATTCTATCCACAGGTAACCGATAAGCCAAACCTTAAAAACACACCTGTATATAGCTATAATGATGTAATGTTATAAATATGACAGCCTGTCATGATATCATAGGCCATTCTATAACACTTAAAACGAAAGGAGATTTTTATTTTGCTCAAGATAGTTGACATCTTCAGAATTAAAAAGATAAAGTAATACGTTACCCATTCTAGATTCTTTCAATTAGAAATAGTTCACAGATATCACAATCTGACAGTAGCCCAATTTACACCACGTGCAGCATTCCAAGACGTTTTGGCTAAAACGTTTTAGAAAAATTAAGTTGAGTTTACATTACCATTTTCAAGACGTCTTACGAAATGAGTTCGAGTTTACACCTGTTTTCCTAAAACGTCTTAAAGATATGTAGGTATATATGTAAAATGAAAAAAGCAGTTCAGTACTGGTTGAAGGCCGGTTCAGTCAATATAGCTATTCCTTTCCCGCTTCTATACTTTGTAATAAAGAATGCATCAGTTTCAGAAAAATATGTCCAAAAGACGGCATTGTTAAAAGCATGAAAGAGAGCAGGAAGATTTCATGCATCAATTAGGATTATCAAATCCAGAAATTACCAGTCACTTTCTTTATCAGGAGAGCTGTCAACACATCTGATAAGAAGTGTTCTAAGCCATTCTGATACTCATAGCATCTTTCTGTTTCACCTAACGAATCCAACAAGAATGAACTTACATACTTTCAAAATAGTACACGTGCATATGCAGTTGAATTGCATTGTCGGATTAATTCGGCAAAATTTTATTTTATAATATGAGAGAAATATGGGTTAAGGAAGAACAGTATAAACCTGTCCGTCGTATAGATGACATACACAACAAACTCTCGATATATCACCTTTTCGAAACCCCGTCATTATGATTCACATTCTTGCCGTTTTATGAGAATCTTTATTTCACGCACTTGTTTGTATAAGTATAAGTACACGCGAAACCAGTTTTGAGAACACTTAAGCACAATATCTAATTGCCTTTATATTTATAATGTTTTGAAGACTACTAATAATGAATAAAAAGTTAGTGATAAGTAGAATATATTGATAAGAAAACGAAACCGATTTTTTCTATTTAATCTATTGTGTGCGTTGCCGTTGCAACTCTAAAACGTATATAATTAGTTAGGATTTGTCTACTTATCGGAAAGGTATGGAGCTGATCTTCTCCAAACTTTTAATTCTCATTGGATTAACGAATCACATGACTTCAGCCACATACCATGATTCAAGTAAGTTGAAATCATACTTTAAGTTTGTATTACTGAAAGAGAGAATCAGATCTAACGAGCGGCTTAACAAAAAATGTTTCAATTTAAATATTATTAGCCTATGTCCTTCCTTTTCATGTCTATTTTCTAAAAATCCCCAAAGTGCACACTTTAATTTATTCCAGAATAACTAAAGATTTTTACAATAATGCATTATTTATTTATTTTTAAGAATGGTTCTTATTATTCAGGAGAATTCAAACATTTTTCACCCATTTTTGCACTTAGAATCCATATAACTTCACCAATTTATAGCATATCGTGAGATTGTAAGGAATAGAATGGTAGGTCAATTGTACATGTTGCTTGTAATTTTGTCAACCCCATAAATCTGATTCCGCCTTTAACGCGGCAATAATATGAAGTATGAGTCATTAATGATGTCCTCTGGACAAAGATGAAAACAAGGGCCCATGAACAATGGCAACTGACCCCTATTGTTATTTTTTTATATTTATATTCATGTAAATTGTATTTAATGAATTGATCGAATAACACGACATCTATACGACGTCTTTTGTATCAGCTCTTTGAAAAGTGAGTGGCAATTCACACATGCGCATCGTGTTCGTTTTGAAATTTTATAATGTTAAGGACAAACCACAACTTACAAAGTATTTCTATATTGAAAAAGTTTAATACACCAAGGTGCGTTTTGACGCAAAAAAAGAATTCTTGGAGTCGAATGGTGAGGTGCTCGTCCACTTTAAGGATTGTCAAAAATTTATACTAAGGGTCTTCCTGCTGGAAAAAAGCAAACGTCATATGATTTTTAAAGTTTTGGTATCAATTGCTGCCCGCTGATTTTGAAATTGCATATAAAAAATCTATTTGAGAAAGGCTAAATAGTTTTATGTATAAGGATCATCCTTAAATTGTGAATTTGGAAAGCGACCATGGCATATGATTGCTTCAGATATACTCTGTTGTCACTGTCAGCAACTCAACATAAATATATCGAAAACTTTCTCATAAGTAGGCTGTATGAGATCGACTAATGTATTCCTATATTCTGTTTCTAGATGGCTGTCACGCTGGAGATTACATGTTGGTGAGAAGACTTGATCGTACGTATGAAAATAAAACTCGTGCCCCTCAATGTGAAAAACTCCTAGGATTCCTTTGTCGCCCTGAGCTACAGTCACCAGGACAGTGTTTCAAGTTAGCCTGTGAGGTAGGGGCCAATGTCATTTACTTCGACCTTGAAACCGAGTGTTCGGCGTACCAATGTGACTTTAACGTTGAAGAACACGATTGGGACTATAAGTGGAAAGAAAAGAAGAGTTCTAAAGGAAGGACGTATGCCTTGCCACACCCAGCTTCCTCCCGCTGTCACAATTCATATTTTGTTAGGAGAACATGGGACAGACAGGAAAGCGGTAGGTCCACATGTCATCGTATAACTAGTATGTCCGTGGATAGCTTGGAAGACTGCAAAGTGAAGGCATGCAATGATAAGGCTAATACGCTTAACTTTGACTTTGAATTTGACGTCGATGGCAAGACGGATCATGGCCATGCATGTGAAACCATGTACTGTAATTGGAATTCAAAGGAGTATGATTATGACATAAAGGTGAAACAGTTTCGTAGTAGAGCTATTGTTGGTCGCGTAGAGGTTTACTCCCTGGCACATATGTCCAAAACATGTAATGGCTTACGGAACAGCACAGTTAAAATACCGCTACACGTTCCTAGGAAATGTGGAAAGCCAGGCTATTTTAAAAACGACCTATTCATACCAAATTTATTTTGTGATTCTGGTTTCAACTCCTTCCAACATCAAAATGCAGACTCAACATACACCACCTTTAAGTGTGATTTGAACGACGAAGGAACGGAATGGGCATTTTATGACGACAACGAATATATAAGACCAGATTTGCGAGAAACAGAATGGCTGGTGTTGCCACCCCCTGGGACACCAAACTGTGGGTCTGATAAGATTTTCAGGCTCAGAAAAATGAAGGCTGAACACAAAATGTCCCTCTGTAGTCATTCCGAAAGAATAGCTGCTGCCCGAGATTTGCGACAGTGCATGTTGTATGCATGTGAAAGAGGCAATGTCAATGTCATTAACTATTACTATAGTTCAGAAATGGTCGTATGCGATCTCAGAATTTGTGCAGAATCAGCGAATGGTGACTATAGCTTCCAATATGCAATGACTGATGGAAATCATGGTTATGATGTATACGCATTGCAATCCGACCCAACCATTGAAGTGAACACCATGATTAAACCACCAAAGGAAAACGTCACTTTGACCCCAACAAACAGCACAAACACTTATTTATCTGAATTAAATAGCGCAAGAGATGAGATAGCTCGTTTGAAAAATGGAGTAGCAGCTCTTGTCACGATTTTGATCATGCTGTTACTTGTAGGTATCGGTTTGTGCGTTCGATATAAGTCCACGAAGAAGCGATGCAATGAGTGGTCAGGTTCGACAAACGCTACATTTGGACACGATGCGGGGCAAGTGATAAATAAATCTGACTGCCCTCCGGGGGGAAATAAAGAACAAAGTTCTTTGTTGGAAGAAGATGCTCGACCAAAGCATGAACGTATCACAGAACTGGGTTCGGCTGAACGGCAACTTACACACGATTGATTGTGAAAAACAGTACAAATTAATGTTTTATTTGAAAGGAGTAAAAACCTTGGATCATTTTTTGCTTATCAACCTACCAATATATCTTTCAAAGACACGCTAAGTAACCTCTCCTGTGGCAATTTTTTTTTATCTAACTTCCAAATGTGTAACGTTTCACCGCGTAGAATTTCTAAATATAGAGTTTCAAAATACCTATACACTTATTTTAAAAAGTAACAGCGGAATTATATCTACTTACGTATATTAGAATTTTCACTGATTTAAGCATTTGGGTGACCATTATCAGGTACATTATTTGGTGATACAAAATTTTCAATCTACACTAGATTACCTTTCATTTGAGTATAAGAAAGTTATACTAAGAAAGATGTCAAAACTAACAAACTTTTTCCCAACCCATTCATAGACGGCCTCTGAGGGTCAGTCTGAAAACACAGAACATATGTGAAATGAATATATGTTGTGAATATACTACTGACAAATGGTTTTTAAAAGAAAAACTTGTGATTTTTGAGGGAATTGCCTTCAGCAGCAGATCGTGAACAAGGTAAGTGAACGGGTTTTTATCATTCAGCGATCCTGATTTAACTATGTCAGTTGAAAGAATGAGAAAGGAGTAAGAATTTAGAAAACGTTTTAGCATTTTAATCAGTGAACACATACCATGACCATAAAATAAAACCGCCGAAAAGTTCAATAATTTATTTAATATCAAACCTACTGTACATCAGAAACATATAATCTGTTTTATCATGTCTCTGTGTGCATGCACACGTGCAGAAATAATTGTCTGTGGATTATAATCAGATATTAGAACATCAACATTATTATGCCATCAACTTTTATTCTTCAACATGTATTGGAATGACTTTAGTATGAATGAAATGTCCATGAGTCGGGTTTGTGTTCTGGTCCCGGTTGTGATAATGGTACTTGAGTATAGTAGTTGGGGGGTAGTAGACATTGTTTCTTTTCACGTAAAATCGTAATTTTTCATAGCTGGGATTTGTTTTCGTTATCACTAGTGTACTCTTAGATGTTTTTTCTAGCTATGTTCTGTAATAGTTTTAGGTCCTTCCTAACTGGCACTTGTGCATACATATTAACTTTGTTCAGACTTATACAACTCCTGAATGGTTTCAGTTAAAATGGTAGTGAAATAACAATAATCAAATGTTGTTTTTGCTATCATGTTTCAAATGGTTTTGAGAAAAAAAAACGTGCGGCGACCGTAGCTACTAGCTTCCCATGATCGAGAGAAATATCAATGGATATGGAGCGTAAAATACAAGGAGTGTGTAGATTTTCTATATCGATATATTTTTCAACCTACGCCCGTCGTGCGGCCGTCGTATAGCAAATGTGACATGTTTTTTTGGTCGAGTATTTCAAGAAAACTATTTTTAAAGTGTTCAAGCAATCACAAACGTTTAATTCTTAAAGCTTCATTCTTAAATACTTGACCTATTGACAGATCTTTACATTCGTTTTCGTTATCTACTATTTTATGTTTATGTTCGTGTTTTTTTTATTTCCAACTTTAAGATGAGTACATAAATCATTTTATAGATTTGGATCAAATGAACTCCTTAATCATCCTACTGATGAGAATGCATTACTTTTAGCTGATCATGGTGATAGCCCACTACAGGAAGGAAACAATCTTGCTACGATTTGTGAATATGCTGACTTCGAATTTCCGTTCAAACCATACACGATCATAGAAGAACGTAACTAATGAATTTCGTAACTCAGATAAATGGCACAGCAGGTGTCCAATGATCGTAATCTCAGAAATGAATTTGATTTATGTGGAAATTATCTCAACATTCAGCAAATTGAATGGCCAAGTATGAGATATTTTGCGAAATTCAAATCGTAAAGAAGCAACACTTAAGCAGGTGTTAATACAATGAGGACTTCCGATAAGATGGATTCTACTTGCGTAGTCACAAAAATGAATCATCAAGAATTCACATCAGTTTGTTGCTTTTATCACTGTAAGATATTTACTTACCAGTATATAATCTTATGAACTCGACCTGTATATTTTACATCTAGCAATGTATAGTTTCATTTTGTTAATAAACAAAATATATATCTAAAGAGCAATGTATAGTTTCATTTTGCTGTGGATAGTGCTTTCGATTTAAAGTCTTCTCGTTACGTATTTTTAGATCTTTTCTCTACTATGATAAACTTTAAACCCAGCTTGGGGATTATTTCTTATCTGACATATTTTGTCGACCGACTAGGTTTAACTTCCGAGCATATTCAGTCAACGGCCAACAGTGCAAAAATATTATAGCGAGCATGGGGTGGCATGCGCTTATTATTAATTCCTGATTTTATAATGTTACTCTTGAAATAAGCTTACATACCTTATGAATGAAAACAAATCATCACATATCCCCCTGTGTCCTTGCTCATGTATTGTTTCAAACTTTTTTTGAGACAGCTTTGTAAAAACTTGGTCCAGCAGATTGTGGTAACATCAAAATGGCGTGTTTGTAAATAAAGCGCTGTTGACGATACTGGACGAAACGACGTCGACAAGTACACAAAACAAGTTGCAGGTTTTTCTCTATCTGATATTCCCGGGAATACATTATATTATCAATTTATTCGACAACAATTTTTTCTTGCTAAGTAAAATATTAATTTTAGTGCGGCAAAGACTCAAATGGCCATAGCGTTGCGAAACTACATTTTAAAAATTGGTCAGAGTAGCCACATTTACCTATTATAAATGAACATTTAACGCAAAATGTTACGTGAAATTGTTTATGGGAGGGGTTTCTATATTTTCGTCAAGAATCTGTCGCACATTATCGAGGAAAATTGTTTAACTTGTGCAATCTTCCAATGGCATGGAGAATATTTTAGTCATCACCGATGCTTTTATCAAATTGACAGTTACAGAACCATCAAAGGACCAAAAGGCAGAAACAGTGGCATAAGTCCTACTGAAATCGTTAAACAAGTGCGCGGTGTGCTAAAACGATTCCACAGTGACCAATGACGTAATTTTGAAAGTAACGTAATTAAGTGCCTTTCAGAGATTCTGAGACATATAACATCAAGTAGTGTAGGACTTCTCCCTACCACCCAGAAGAAAATGGACAATGTCAATGTTTTAAAAGAACCCTACATTCACTGCTTACAACCTTTGAACATGATGAAATGGAAGTGGTTGGAATACACCAGAGAGCTAACATACTGCGACAACATCAAACGGTATAGAACAACTTGATATCACCGCTCTATCTAATGATTGATTTAAGGAATAAATCATGATATGCCATTCAATATGGTGAAATTCAGCACGAGTTGGACAGAATGTTGTACAAAGCACGAACCGAAGGTGAGAGCATTTGTACTAACATTCTGTCCAACGAGTGCTGAATTTCACCATATTGAATGGCCTATCATTATTTATTCCGATTCAAACATAAAAATTAGTAAAAGCCGTCGTGGAACGGGCATGAAGGAAGAATATGCATGCTGTCAAGATTCTGAAGTCGGCCGGAAAAATTTTAGAATTTGTTTGGGCTGTTCTATTATACTCCCCGTTTTAGATTTTATACGGTGTATGCAAACATGGGGTTGTTTGCAAACGGAGGGAGTAAAAAAAGAACAGCTATCCCCGGACAGAGCCCCAGATGTGCAGCTGAGATGTGACGTCACTCAAAACAATGCAAATTGCAGATTGAATAGAGCATGGTCGTGCACCTATGGAGAAATAGAGAACGTTCTATATTGGCTATGCTGCATGCTGATTGGTTGAGAAATTCGAATAGAGCACGGTCATGTTTGAATGATTGATAGACATCGACACCCAAGACTCCCAATATGTATACAACTAGATGTCAGTGAAGAGGAAATGAATGAAAATGAAGACTGGATATAACACAGTAAAATTGAAACTACAAGGCGCCAACGAAATTGCCATGAAATACCAAAATGCCATTTTAAGCGACCACGTCCAATACTATTCATCAATCATGTGCGACTGTCAACGGTATGATTTTCTGCGAAAGTGAAATGCCACTAAAATTGCAAAACAATGAGAAAGTTATGATTATTTTGGCATTTGCTATAGAATATGAGATATGAATGGACGTTATCTAATGTTACTTTGTTTTACACCTATAGTTGTTAATTGAATTAAAATGCCAAAGTAATATTTTCTAGATTATCAGACGTTCAGTTAAATATCGGAAATATAAAAATGATTTAAACTTGCTGCATAACCTTTAAACGTTACTCAATAATAGGGGTTACATTCGCTGGAAGTCTCTTTGGGTAAAGCATAAGAATACAAAGTGTACAAGGTTGACAAGCGACAGGTAGAAGTGGTCCAGTTCTCCTGTCATCGGGAGTAAGTATAAGATTAAGAAGTATAGGTTTTTAGCTTATTTGCAAATATGAGTGAAATTTTGATTTTGGATGTGGGAAACATATATTTAGAACGAGAACGGAATATTTTAGTTCATTTGATTTTCCAAGAAACAACTTGTCAGCTTGGGATGTAATGTCAGAAATATATGTTTGCTTTTTTCAAAGTGCTAGTAAAAACCGTAACATATTATTATGGTCCGTTACCACCCTTGGTATACGAAGCTAGCGATAATGCAACAGGATTGTGCGAAAGCTGGAGTGGAAACAGAAGTTCACAACGACTGTGATGTCAGAACCAAAGCCTAAACCTTGTCAAACCGGTCAGTTAATTTATGCATGGGTTTATCAACGCATGTAACATACTCCACACAGGTCACGTACATTCGGAGATGAATATGGAGATCGTAATGTGCATCGCTTTGCTTTGCGCATGTGTTGATGCAAGGCATCATAGTACTAGGGCTCGGGCTGGTCTGCCCCGTGTGGGGCACAACATTGCTGGATTAGAGATGGACAGACCATTGATCATCGGACATCGGGGAAGTGCTGGGATGATGCCTGAACATTCATTAGAGGGGTAAGTACATGTTGGGCCAGTCTTGAAGTCGACCATCTTATTTTAATCAGAATTCTACATTATTTGGCGAAATTATACCAACCAACAGTTTGTCAATCAGTCAATGAAGATATTACGTTTCTTTGATTAAGTATTACATTCATGTGACACTGTAGGAAAACCTGTACACATCGCTCAAAGTTGTCAATGATTTGACTGTATTTCTCAGCAGTAATGGCTTGGATAACACACGGTAGTGTTTGAAGTTGTTCTAAAGTCATTTTTGTATCTTTGGCATATACCAACAGTAAAAGGTCAGGGAGGGACATTTTGAACGACGTGTGCAGGTTTGCCTATAGCACGATATTTGCCACCGCCACATGTTGAAATATAGTAAGCTGGTAGAAAATTGAATGATGTACAAATGTGCCAAATACCAGGGACTCAATCCTAAAAAGACAAAGATATGAGTAAAATAGCGGCAGGGTTTCCATTTTTGACCACCCTGTATTAAAAGTCATTCAATGATTTTGTTTTCTTGGTCAATAGGTACAAACTGGCAATAAAGCAAGGTACCGACGTTATAGAGTGTGATATGTGTCTAACAAAAGATCTAAAGATCGTCTGCCTGCATGAAAGTTGGTTCAGCAGAGTCACAAATGTCAAGGATGATCCCGAGTTTCGGGACAAAATTGTAATATTTAAAGTATAACAGTTACAGTTCGCTGTGTTAGTCATTAAATTATTGTTGCATTACATGATAAAGGTTTTATGTACTGTACCTTTTCTGCTATAAGAGGGGACCCTCGTGTAACAAGATTGATGGACTTCCGATGGGGGATTTTGAACGAATATTCACATCTACCTCCTTTACTTCGAATATGCTTTAACATCTTTGACAAATACTACTTCTTTCATTCTATCAATCTTTTTCAAAATAAACGCATTAAGCGCAAAACTTTCAATGCAGCAATACGTCCCGTTTCCTTCTACTATCGGTTCTTTGAATGCGATCATTATGGATTTCCGAACAAGTGTGACAGTTGCGGAGAGATGAACTTATACTATGAATTCTTCCAATGGACAATGAGACAACGAGTGTATGTACATTGTCAGTTCAGACATCTTGTGACGTATGGGCCCCCTTCAATGTGGTAAGAGTAGGTACATATATGTGTATTTGAATGTTGCATATTCTCAACTTCAAGGTGTCCAGAGAGGTTGAAGGATCTCTTATAAACGACTGGTTCTCTGTGGATTTTACACTGAAAGAGCTCAAAAAACTGCGACTGATTCAACCCAATTCTTTTCGTGATCAGACTCATAATCTCAAATATCCCATGGCTACCCTTACAGAGCTTATAGACTTGGTTAAAGCCGAAGATAGGACCGTTGCTATACATGCTGAAACCAAAAACCCGGAATGGGTTAATTCGTTGGATTTGGTAAAGAATGCAAACACAACATTTGAGGACATCGTTGTTGAGGTCTTGGAGGCACGTGGTTATGACAGTGAATATTCCCCGTTCTTTTTGCAATCATTCAGTGAAGAGAGTCTGAGAGCGTTGGCGCAGAGGACTACCGTTCCGAAGGTGATGTTGGTTTGGAAAGAGGGTGTTACGCAAGAAAAACTAATGGAACTGTCAGAGTTCTGCTACGGAATGGGACTTTGGAAGGATCTGATTATCACTGGATGGAATGATGCTTACGGTTATAAGAATTATGCTTGGAATAGAACTGATCTTGTTGAGAGAATACACAACCTTGGAATGAAAGTCCACATTTATACAATGAGGAACGAGGACAGATATTTGCTCTGGGACTATGGGCAAGACCCGCGTAGAGAGTATGAAGCATTCCTACAATTGGGAGTAGATGGCTATTTCACAGATTTCCCTGCAACATTGAAATCTCTGCTGGATGATGCGTATATTTCCAGTGCAATCCCCTGTGCTACACTTTGCCCTCCTAGCCTTTCTAGTCCCGGATCCTCTTCAGATAAGAATAAAAAACAAAGTAAATCTATCTTGCGTTCGATTCGAGCCTTGCTATGTTCGGTATATTGTGACGAATAAAGTGTAACGAGAGAGGGAAAAGTGTGACAACTTAAGTTTGACGATGACTATAGATATAGTATATCACATTACCCGGTATGCATGTTTAACTTTCAGGTATCTTAGTCCTTCCAAGAATCATATTCCAAACGAGCTTTACCCAACAACCTAATGTTTTACCTAACTTTTTACCGTTTTAGAATTTCGATATGTTTTGAAAATTCTTTGATATGGACTTCAATGAGAACTATCAATGAAAATATTTCGAAACAACATGCCTTGTTTTATTGAATTCAAAACCGTGGTCAAGGTTTTCTTCAACTTTACCAGATTTTTTCTCAAGAAGTATATTGAAGGTTAAAATTGTATTTTTTAACATGCCTCAAATTGACCAAATATTTTTTCAAAATCACCTAAAAGTTCTGTGAAGTTCAAATCTGCCTAGATCGGGGATTTGACATTTGGTTGCCCTTCAATGACCTTCGAAAGGTAGTGACATTTTGTCATGTTAATGCCTGTATATACAGGGTGATCGTCAAGCAAGATCAAAAGTGCTCTAATTTTTGTAAACATTAATGAATCTGGCACATTTTCTCACAAAAATTAGAGCTCTTTTGATCTTACTTTATGATCATTATGTACGTTGACACCGGTACAATGAAATGACAAATGCCAAAAAATAACAAATCTTATACCAAATCACTTCATCGTTATAGGGGTTGTTTAGTTCTAGGAGAACGTCCTCTGTAATTAAATTATATTATTGGCAATGAGAAAGTTGTGTTTACATTGATCTGTAGCATTAATGTTATGTTGTTTATCATCGGCGGTGTTTGTAGTTTCCGGTAACTCAAAAGTCAAAAAAAGTAAATATAGAAATAATTGAAAACAATAATTTCCAAAATGTCTGACATTTAGATTCAAAAGATAAACGGTGGATTACGACATATATTTGTTGCACAAGCAGTTGATTAATGATAATGCCACCTCTGATATCATTGATAATATATGATTGATTGTATAGATGTCCATGACATTGTTTGAATTGATTACTTACCTTTTATTTGCGAATGCAACTAACGCCTGTCGGCTTCCGGATTAACTTACAATTTTATGAGTATTTCATTTGTATATGAATAGTACCTGCCACTATTCCATTCATATTTAATGAGTCTGTCAGTAGTAATATTATACAAAACTTTAGTTTTTCAATATTGATGTTTAATTTCCATTTCAAACATGTTTAGTTTATCAAAACAGTACTGTACTCTGTAGTCCTTCATTTGTTTCTGAAATCAAGACCAGATCATCTGCATTATAAGTTATTGAATGATTTGAAGTGCAATACAGGATATATTCTGCTCGAGAAATTCCGTATTGGAACGAGACGAAGTCGAGTGCCAATACAGAATATCGAGGCAGAATATATCCTGTATTGCACTTCAAATCATTCAATAACGTTTTTATCGTGTGATCCTCTGTATTGCTACTAAGATTGTCCCTTCCGTACCAATATTTCTATATTGCGACGGAGATGATCAACGGGGACAATCTCAGTAGCAGTACAGATTGGTACAGCACGAGAACTGACCAATCAGAGGGCTTCATTTCACAGATCATACGATAAATAAGAGTACATTTATCGAAGTTTCATCATTACTACTGATTTTGACAGGTTTGCATTGGTCATCAAAATATCTACTAGTATTGTGGCATTTATATATAAGTTGAAACACAAAGGACTGATTAAACAGCCTTGTTTCCAATTATACTATGTATAGGAATTTTAAAACTCCATATTTCAAAATTCTACACGGTGAAATGTTGCACATTTGGAAGTTATTGTTATGATATTAAGAATATTTGAAGATGCATTATGCCATATGTTTCTCCCCCAGACAATCAGTGATGTCCAATTGTTATTGCTCAAATATAATATCCCACATACCATGGATATATCTTGAGAATAACATTTGGGTAAATTATTGCCGAAATATCGGAAATAATCAACAGAACAGCCAAACTCCAGAATTAAACACAATCGATTCCTCGGCTAGCGAGGGGAATCCACATTGAGTCACACAAGCGCCTTGAGCCAGGCAGCCAATCAGGTTCATGATAAACAAATTCAACGACAAATCAGATGACAGGACTTTCTCGGTATATTCAAACGTCAGATTGAATTAATTTCTTCGAAAATAATTAGATCGGCCAGCACAATCGCAAAACTAACACTGAAATAGGGGGACTTCTTCTTTTGTAAGTAGATGAGTATATATGTTGTTAAACTCAATATGCAAAAAAACGTCCAGAGGGTCTTGATTGTGCTATCCTATGGCATAGAGCCTCTTTGATATAAAGAAAAATTGCCACAGGGGAAGTTAATTAGCATTTTTGAGAGATATATCGGTAGATTTAATAGTCTTTCCTCCAATACCTAAATTCAAAATTTTAAAATAATATTGTGGACTATTGTATAGTGAAACGAATAGTCGACGAGTTGACAATATTCTGAGGTATTAATCCTTTCAAATAAAATATTTATTTGCACTATTTTTCCACCATCAATCGTATGTAAGTATCCGTCCCTGCGTTGATCGACCATTTTCTTCCAACACCGGACACTGCTCTTTATTTTGCCTCTGTAAGGCCGGCCGTTCGCTTTATGCACCACGTTTATCACACTACCCTACCATGTGATCACGTTTAAAAGGGAAACAAATAGAGGAATGGGGTTTATTTCCATATTTCTGGACGTAAAATACATTTTAGATTTATTTCTAGTGTTCCACCAGACATAAAATAGATTCATCGAGCAGTTTGTAGAATATTTTTTGCATAAAAACGTGGGCGCTGTGAAGTAAAACTTGAAAGCAATACAAGATACATTTTAATAAATCTATTAATGAACGGGGAGCGTGCAAGTTTCACCTCAATATGTTACTTCTTTTGACATTGATATGTAACAAGAAACCAATTAACTGTTATTTATACTGCGTGTCATTGTATTATATGTAGATACGTTTTCTAGTATGTTATTCAACTGTATTTTGTTAATTAATTGTTTTTCTAAAATCTTAAGATGAAGAAAAAGTCCCAGAAATGTATCTTTACTTTGCCGTAAGGCAGAACATTTTTCCTCTTGTCACAAAGAGGATTATGTTTGTTTTGAGGTGTCTCGTGATGAGCGTTTCATTACTAAACGCAAAACCACTGGATCAGATATCATCCAAATACATCTGAGATTCAACATGTCAAAATGGCAGCAATACTCGTTTGCTAATTTTTTTTATTGAAATTCATTGTTGCAGTGACCCAGCGGCATATGCTATATACCGCAGGTGAGTATGGCATATTCACCCGTATCACAAATACCGCGCAACCATGAATGTATGCCATATACCGCGTAACACAGTATGCTGTAACACACATTTAATTTACGAACCTAATTACTCAGATGCGAGTAGGTAGATACCAGTTTCGCCACCAGGTGGCTGATTCGGGGGAATTAACATGACAGGGTATTACAAAATTCCCTTAAACTTGAATATACATCAGTTTTAGTGATTCACTTTTCATATTACCCTTATGTATCTCAGTGATAGTTATACAAATTAACATATGTCCAGTAAAAGAAAATATTATCTGCCCAACACAAGAAAAGATATTTCACTTTTTGTGGTTTTACAACATGGGGTCTATGGGGAATCTCCCCGAGCTAGAAGTCACATTTTCAAAGAAAATTGAATTTTCAAAGTCGATAAACTCTTTTCAAAACCACATTTCTAAACGTAATTTTACATGTAGATTCCAAATATGACATCAGTTTGACTGAATTGCGAATTTTTAATGACATAAATCAAGATTATTTCTACTCGCATCTGGGATATTTACGGGACGCCTCTAAATGCTGAAATGACAAATATTGTACATCACATACTTATTTCCTTGGTTACATATCGATCTCATGGTACTAACAAGTAAATTGATATGAAAATCTAAGTTAATTTTCGTATTTTCAAAAAGCGTGTGTCCCGTAAATTAATCTCGTAAATTAATTTAGGATTTCAACTAACTTTAACACAAAAAATATGAAACCATGATCGCGGACGAATATAGCTGGTTTTAAAAAGAGACCAATCGTGCCTTAATATATGTTGTATTAGATTTGTCATAATATGTCTGCATGTTCTTTAAAAATGGCAGTCCCGTAAATTAGGGCCAAAATTTCCATTCTAGAATCCATATGTTGGACTAGAATTTCTGATTACATGGACCCTTTGTCATAAAAAAGCCTCGTTTGTTGGATCAGGTATCAATACGTGATTAGTTTATGATCAATAACTTGTTGATAATAAGCTTACATACGAGACCAGGATGAAGTGTCATAGTCTGACTCGTAAATTAGATACAACTGAGTGACAGAATTCAAAGTTAAATTTTTGAAAGACTAACAGATGGATCTAAGTATTTTTTATGAAAGTAGATATACCGAAGATACTTCATAACATGTTACATAGTGACTGTATGGCAATTGTGTATAATAAACAGCAAATCTATGTTCACTTATCACTTCGGTAACAGGCCATTTTGGATACCCCCACATACTTCAGACACCTCTCAGTCAGTAACACAATATGGTGCATATGTAATATGTATTTAATTTTACAACCATTTCATAATTTTTGATAAAAAAATGTCATAATGTCATAAAAAGTGCATATATTTTGATTAACATCATTAGGAAAAGCAGTAACACCATTTTTCACACTAACGGAGAATGACTAGTGAAATATTGGACCGAGGGCCCAAGGTCCAATATCTCACTATATTGCCCGCAGAAATGACGTTATTTGTATTATTACCACCGTTAATGACCAGGACTGAATAACACCCGGTGTAAAAGAAATTATGGTCCCCTGGGGATTATGGTCCCCTTTCCTTACGGCCCTTACTGGCCCTGACTGTGTATTAATAATAAGGAAAATAACTGTGATTAGGTCACCATATAAATCAATAGAGAGTAGGACCACAATTTGATAGCACCACCTACCCTTTTACACCGGGAATATATTTCATATTGGAAAAAATAGTATTGTTCCGCCCAATCCCGCTCACAAAACTCGTATTCACCTCCTAATCCCGCTCAGGAAAATGGTATTCACTTCCCACGAATTTCTGCCAAACAAAGCTTCATTCAGTTGGGTCGATAAAGCGTGCTGCTATGATGTTCTTGATGTTAAATACAAAGTTGAAAATAGAGAGATTTTGAAACGAATTGTAATTCTATCATCACCATGCTTTGATACAGACAGTCAAAGTCTGTGAATACCTACGCATCTTTCACAAGTGATATTCCACGAAGTCCAGAGGGATAGTGGAATATCATCTTGTGAAAGTGTCACAGGTATTCACCGAAAATAGCTATAGTGAACTATTTGTTTTATTATATCACTGTCTGTCACTGTTGATTCCATAGCATTCGACATCATGGATGGGTCTCTGTCTAGTTTTGATTCCTCATTTCACAAAAACTGTTATAATTTTGTATTTATTTCACGTTTTTGCACAATTTGCAAGTTTATATCGTTCCCAGTTTCCTCCATCCAATCAACAAAAACTTTAATCGAACGATTTTTGTGTACATTTTCAATTAATTTAACTTCGTCAGAGTTAAATCTTCTCTTTTGTCATTTTGACTTACACTGAACGAAAACAAACTCTCATTGAAAATTCCCAGGGGGAGCGTGGAATATCGCTAGATATCCCACGGTTGTCTAATCTGATTAGCATGGCCATTGAATACCGCCAGATATTCCATGACATGTGACCCGGTTTTGACCAATCAAACAGTTGTTAGCTAGATAGTGATATATTAATGAAAATCATCAAACAACAATAGTGGATAATGAAAACGAATATTAAAGATATGTCAACGGGTCAAGTAGTTAAGAATGAAGTCTTAAGAATTAAACGTTTGTTATCGTTTAAAAACTTTAAAAATAGTTTTCTTGTAATACTCGACCAAAAGACCATGTCACATTTGCTATACGACGGCCGTACGACGGGCGTAGGTTAAAAAATCGATATAGAAAATCTACATCGTACTACTTATATTTTACGCTCCATATTTCTCTCGATTATGGGAAGCTAGTAGCTATGGCCGCCGTACGGTTGCCGTAGATCAAATGTGACTAAGTCTTAAAGGGTAAAAACTTTATTTTCTCAAAATCATTTGAAACATGACATAAAAAACATTTGATTATTGTTATTTCCCTACCATTCTAACTGAAAGCATTTTGGAATCGTATATTTCTGTACAAAGTAAATAGGGCTGGCCAATATGGCTGGCCAAGTGGTACAAAGTCACGTCGTTATGTTTACGACCGTAAGGTCGTTAATTATAATGTACGACCGCAAGAACGTAAATGTACGACCATAAGGTCGTTAATTTACGTCCTTAAGGTCGTTATTATCGGTTCCAAGAACGTAAATTAACGACCTCATAGTCGTAATGTTTACGACCGTAATGTCGTAAATAAATGACCGCAAGAACGTAAATGTACCACCATAAGGTCGTTAATTTACGTCCTTAAGGTCGTTATTATCGGTTCCAAGAACGTAAATTAACGACCTCATAGTCGTAATGTTTATGACCGTAAGGTCGTAAATGTACGACCTCAAGAACGCCAAGATTGTGAAAACTTACTGACGTAAATTTACGACCTTACAACCGTGTTATACGACCTTACTGACGTAAATTTACGACCTTACGACCGTGTAATTACGACCTTACTGACGTAATTTACGACCTTACGACCGTGTTATACGACCTTAATGACGTAAATTTACGACCTTACAACCGTGTTATTACGACCTTACTGACGTAAATTTACGACCTTACGACCGTGTTATTACGACCTTACTGACGTAAATTTACGACCTTACGACCGTGTTATACGACCTTACTGACGTAAATTTACGACCTTACGACCGTGTTGAACGACCATATGGTCGTTAACATAACGACGTGACATTGTACCATTTGGCCAGCCATACACTTGGCCAGCCATACAAGCTATCACAAATTACGATCGCGATTTAACGTTATGTGAAACAATGTCTAACATCCCCCTCCCCAACTATTCAAGTACCATTATCACAGCCCGGGACCACAACACCATTATACTGAAATCATTACAACACACTTTGAAGAACCAATTAATGGCATAATAATTTTGATGTTGTATTATCATCCATAGAAAGTTGTTTCTGCACGTCATGTACACGTACACAGAGCCCGGGCACAAAGACATATTTATAAAACAGGGTTAAATATGTCTCTTATTTACAGTAAGTTTGTTATCAAAGAAATTTTTGAAGTTTCGGCGATGGTATGTATGTGTTCACTGGAAAAAGTGTTCACTGATTAAAATGTTTAAAGTGTTTTCTAAATTCTTTCTCATTCTTTCAACTGAAAAGGTTCAATTGGTTTACGAAATGATAAAAACCCGTTCACTTACCACTGGCGGATCTGGGGGGGGGGCCCAGGGGCCCGGGCCCCCCCCCCCCCCTTGGGTGGGCCCAGAAAAGAAATTTGTGCCCAAAAAAATTTTTGAGCCAAAAAAGGCCTAAAGGCCCCAAAAAGTAGGCCTTTTTGGTCATAAATGGGCCTTCTAAGGCCTTATTTTTTAAATTTAGGCCAAATTTTGAAGAAAATGGGCCTCAAAATTTTAAAATTTGGGCCCACTTTTGGGTTTTAGGGGCCCAAAATTTTTTTCGGAAGTTTTTGTCTCAGACCAGAAGTTTGGGCCCCCCCCCCCCTTGTTGGTTCCCAGATCCGCCCCTGCTTACCTTGTTCACGATCTGCTGCTGAAGGCGAAGAATTTATCAAACCAACAAGAAAAGGAAGGTAAAGAAATAACCAAGACATCTTCACTAACAGTACATTGTCAACTATAGTTTACTTTATAAACTTATCTCTAAGTATATTAAAACGTTTTAAAACCGTTATAAGAGAAGTGATTCATGTAATCTAGTTTCTTTTTATATCTACTTTATTTTAACTTTCTTAAACTAACTTCCTACTATCTGTCTGCGAAAGCATCTTGACCTTATTTACTTTTTAGAGGATTGGTTAACTAATTAGATTTAGAGTGTTCCGCGAATAAATTTGATAAATCTAGATTACAACTCGAACTTTAATATTTGAACTTCGCAAATAACATCAACGTCAAAGAAATAGAAATGAGATTCGATCACCGAAGATATGTGGTTTTCATTTTTTGTGTATATATATACAATACAATGAAATGACTATTTAGATTTTGAATCTAGCAATTCAGTAAAGGATAATCTGGGGTTAACATGACCGCTACCTCATCAAACCTGCTTATTTAAAGCGATACACCTACATGTACTTCGATCTACAGTACATCACGATAAAGATTTATATTTTTCATGGCCATAAAGCTTTTGGCAAAGTTACTGAGCTTGAATCATATTTACACAAGGTGTCGCTGCAAAATAGTTGGCTCAGTTAAAAGCCCGATGTTAAAGGCAGAATCAGATCTATAAATTAAGGGTGACAAAATTGCAAGCAATGTGTACATTTGACCCTCCAGTGTATCCCTAAACCCCCAAATATGATTTCTCCCAAAATATCCCCGATAGTATGCTGTAAATTGGTTATTTAAGATTAAAAGTCTAAAAACGGGAGAAAAATTATTGAATTCTCCCAAATAATAAAAGTGGTGACAATATCTAATATTATCTATAGACAATAACTCAGATGCGAAGGTAGTTACCAGTTTCACCACCAGGTGGCTCATTCGGGTCAGATAGCATGGCGGGTATAGTAGAAAGTTCCCTTCATGATCATCAGTTTTAGTGGGTCAATTTTCATATCACCCTTATGTATCTAATAGTTATGCAAATTAATATATGTCCATTTAAAGAAAATATTATCTGTCAAATAGAAGAAAAGATATTTAACTTTTTGTGATTTATGGGGTATATTGGGAATCTCACCGAACTAGAAGTAACTTTTTCAAAAAAAAAAAAAATTTCTAAGTTGATAAACAATATTCGGAACCATATTTCTAGATGTACTTTTACATGCAGATTTTAAAAAATTACATCACTTTGACTGAATTTTGAATATTAAATTACATAATCAAGATTATTCCTACTCGCATCTAGTCTATTGAATGCATTATTGTAAAAATCTTTAGTTTTCTACAAATAAAGTTTACACTTTGGACATTTTAGAAAATACACATGACAAGAAATATATGAGCCCAAAATGTTCTTAAATCGAAACAATTTTCGTCAGGATCATGATGGTTCTGATTCCTGATTCTGCCTTTACAATGGCAATTACCAGAATATTTTCCATAAAATCTCAGAGTCTCCTTTATTTAGTCATAGAAGCCTTCCAGACAAACTATGCTAGTATCTTGTTAGATGATGTATATTTATATCTATGTCACTGGCTGATCCAGGGGGCAATCCCTCCCCCCTGGGGTGGGCCCAGCAAAAAAATTGGTCCAAAAGATTTTGTAGGGCCTCAATAAGTGGGTAAGTGGGCCTTTTGGGCATTACTTGGCCTTTTTGGGCCTCTTAGGCCAAATTATAAAAATGGGCCTTTATTTTCAAAATTTTCAAAACATTTTCCAATTTTCCAATTTAGGGGCCCAACTTTTTTTCTGATTTGAAAAGTGCCCCCCCCCCCCTCCTTGTTAGCTTCTGGATCCACCAGTGTAATATAATATACAATGATGGCATGCCTTCCAGGTTTTAGGAGCCGTTGTTGATTGTTCTAAATATCAAATCAAAGTCTGAAACAAGGATTCATTGTAATACTGTCATTAAACAACAGAAACCTATGGGTTTATTTGGTTTATGATTATTCGAAACTATATGAATATCACTTGTTTGGTCGGCACTAAAGAATACGTGAACAGCGAGACATTTCAGCATAATGAAATATCTTTAATAGCATTTTGTGAATACTCGTAGGGTACAATTTTCCCAAAACAAATGGTGTTATTTTCGTATAAGTCATGTCAAACTAACAAAACTCTATTATATTTTAACATTGCTTAGATATTATATGAACCCCTGAACTCCATTTTCCTCAGTATTCCCTTATTGATTTTAAACGTTAGAGGCTATTTTATAAAATCGTTTACATCAATAAAAGTAGTTTGTCTTTTATCAAAGTCATAATCCAAATGTTTCAAGGTTAGCGGCTTCCTTTTGACACCTCCTGTAGATCTACGATATTCGTCTGGGCACGGTTGACTTGGTAAAGAACCTCGCCTGTAACCTTTCTTTCCTTTATCTGAGTTAGAGCCATTCATGTTCTGCATGAGCCGGCTTGTGTAATAGTCTACAACGTGTTCCGTGTTGGCTTTATAAGGCTCGATGTGTGTTTCTAGATCCTTCATGCGTTCGGGAAAGTTAGCGCTATCTACACGTTGGTTGTTTATTGTCATGAGACGAGTTTTACGATCGCCATTACCAAACAGATTTGATGTTTTCGAACCTGGTGTACTGGGACGCCTCAAAGGACTAGCGCTTGGTAGCTTTCTTGATCGAGTCTTTGGTCGTTCAGTGGATTTAGCAGTTTCAATAAAACCGTCTTCTAATTGATTGGTGACCATCTCTAAAAGCCCTTCCTTGTTTGTATTGTCTTGAGCTTTTTCATGTTCATCACATTCTGATGTATTCAAATTCCAGTTAACAACTCGTTCAATAGGGATATCTTCATCGACTGAAGCGTCATTGTCTGCGTGTATTTCTGATTCCTTATTTGCATTAGAACCAATGGCAATGCAACTCTTGGGTCTTTGCTTCGTACTTCCTAATAAGCTACTAGTGTCATTGCTCCCTCTTCTGAGAGTTACAGCGCTAATGGCTCTTCGAGTAGCGTCCAATGGGCCAGTTTGCCGCTTATGATCAGTAAGCTCCTGATTAGTTTCAATTGTGGACCCGTTCAAAGTTGGGCGGGCTGATGACGTCATACTTCTCGAGTGTCTGGTGTTTGGCCTTTCTGAGGCGGGTCTTGATGACGTAACGGTACTAGCTGCAGATTTCGCATGCGCTCTTAGTGTTTGCTTCAAAAGTACCTCGTCATCGGTATCCTGACCACAGCTAGTGTTGAGACCAAATCGACTCATTTTCCTACCCCTAAATTCTCGTTCTTGTTCAGTGCGTCCCATGAGACGCGCATGTGCGATATCCCGCTGAAGCATCCGTCTTTGAAACCGGCGATACATAACTTGCTGGTCAACAGATATTCGGTTAAGCACTGTTGCACGAGTTTTGTCCAGTTGAGCCAGCCTTTTCTCTAATAGAACTTTTTCCTTTATCTGAACAATCTGTACTGACTTACTCCGCTCCGCTTCACCGAGACTCTTTGGGGCCTTTTCACCCCGTTCCTCTTTCATTTTGAGTGAAAATATGTGAACCGGACCAAGAAGAGTGTTAAAAATAAAGTTATTGTTATATCCTTAGTCGATTAAGTCAGGTTCTTTTCCAGGAATGCATGAGGAATACCTTCTGAATGCGGTGTCATCTGTTGAATGTCATCAACCTGTATAAAGTCTCATCTAACATCGTTCGAGTATAAAATCACATTGGTTGTATTTAAAAACATTCAGTAATGAAACCGTTGTCATTTCATGTATTGATATATTCATATATTGATAATGTCATTCTTAGTGTTGATAACATCCAAACATGAATTCCTATTTTCATACAACTTTTAATTTCGACTGAAATTTCCGCTGTATTACTATTAAGTTCTCGCTTTATTACTGGGTATCCTTTGACGAATTACATGAAAACAACATTTATTCCTTTAGAAATACAACAGTTGCTATGGCCTTGTATATACTGTAAGTAACACAATGTCATGCTCATAGACATTTAGTTAAACAGACATCAACACCCTTTATACAGGTGTACGAATCCGCTTTATTTTTTCAACTGAACGAACTTAAATTAGCAAATAAAAATCCTTTGTGGGGAATATTTACCCACGGTAGCTTTTGATGTGTTTATTCAGTTTATAACAATTAGATTGGAATAGAATGTTAAATCGATTGTTGTTTGCATACCGTAGACTGTAAACACTGTATTTCAATTTCACTTGCACGAGACAAGTTTCAGTTTTCAAGTGCATAAAATATGGTTTTGTATTCTTGTAATGAAATATTTGGAAGTCGTTTATGGAGGAGCTGTGTTTGAATATACATCCACATTCAAAAATATAAAAACATACAAAACGTAAACATTTACGTGTTAATTACCATTATCGGTCTACCCCATAGGCCAAGGTTGATAGAAGATAAAAAGATATATAGTACTGGATTCCGTTGGTGCTGCCATCTTTATATCGGCCCAGAACCTATGCTCGACTCCTAATTTTGATAAAATCCCAATTTTCTTTACGATATATGAACAATTTCAAAGAAGTTCAATGGAAAATTAATTTGAAAATAGATTATTTGGTATTTTAATTTTGTTATGCAATGTTTTCAGTACATATGCTGAACAATGTAAAGCCGTGTGTATTGACAGATGGTTCGTTTTCTTATTTTATATTGGTTCTGGTATCATCACCTCAAGCTAAAATAACCAAGTCAATGTAAATGTTTAACCGATAAAATAAAATGAGGATGTTTTCCCAAAACATCATAAGAAAACAATAACTAAAAACACAGTTACAACAATGTCATTGGAATGGCACGATAAACCTCAAATGTCTAAAAAGATGGCGATGCAATCGATATACGAGGGGTGATCAATAAGTAATGGACGCTTTTTTACACAGATACTTTTTATTGACCAATCCCTTTGATTTTCCTTCCAGTGATATATCATTCAATTATCTATCAATTCTGAAGATTTGAAGACAAAATATATAATACATGTTGATATATCCTTATTTCCGTGAAGGAGGTACAGGTACCCCGGGACCGACATTTACGTAACATATTCAGTTTTTAGCCAGTTTGGTAAATTTGAGTTAGATTTGAACTTTTTATATGCAAGAAGTGTTGTATTGTTTGAAATTTTATGCTGACTGGTAACGCATAAACAGAAAGTATATTGTAATGTCAGAGTGTTATATGGAAGGGGTTTGCAGGTCAATTTGAGAAAGCATTGTGGAAGAAAGGGGTGAGGAGAGAAGGGAACACCCTACTCCATTTGGACAATGCACCTGCCCACAGATCTCAAAATGTTCAGAAAACAATATCCATATTGTCCACATCTGCTCACATGTGACTTGTTTATTTCTATACTACTTATTTCTATAGAGAAAGGACGCAGGTTTATTAACATTGATTAAATAAAACAACCCATGCAACTGTATCTTGCTACCATGTCAGAGAATGGATTCAGCCTTGTCTCACAATCTTGAGTTAAGAGGATGAGGAATTGTGTACATGTAGCACTTGATGGAACCTATTTAGAGGGCCCTGTGGAATGAATGTGGCATGAATACCACATAGTGTAATGATAAAATATTCAAAATCAACTATGGCATAACAAAATGGGGTAATTCATGACCATAATGGTTTATTTTGTTCAGCCTGCATTCAACTGCATTGCATGTTAAACAAGCTAAAATAGTTTCAGAATATGTGACGTAAATGTCGGTCCCGGGGTACCCGTACCTCCTTCACAGAAATGAGGATATATCAACATGTATTATTTATTTGAAATCGTCATCAAATATTCCACTATACAGTGCAAAGCACATCTTTTTAACACCAATGCAAAGATTGAACAAAGGACACGCTATTTCATTAATAAAATGTCATATCTAATGTGCCATTTCATATTTAAGCATATCAAAAATAATTTGCAACCTAAGTGACATCATCGTGACATCACTCGGGTGTGATTTCTTTGGCAATCTTTTCAAAACATGTTAACTTCAAGAGAAAACCAATGTTGATTGCACAACCATTGTACCATTGGTTTCTATGAGAATTAATGTTAAAATGTATTTTTTCTCTGAACTACTTTCATGCATGGCTGATTTCATTTCTCCCTTACATATAGACCAATTTTATTCATTTTTCGGAAAAACACGTGATGATTAATGCCATGACGTGTCGCAAAAAGGTGGCGCATTTGTTTTTTAAGGGTATCGCGTGAATGTAACTTTGATTCCCCGGATTATAAGATAATATTCTAATTAAAGATATATATCATTTTAAAGCTGTTTCGATGAAGTTTTTAGATCAACTACACTCCGTTCACGATTCTTGCGCGTTCTCTTTTAAAAAATAGTTTTTTCCAAAACATCTGGCAAATATCCCCTGTTGACACGTTACTTTTTGAACTATTTTTCGTCTTTAAACGCTCATAACTTAAACAATATATGACTATTATACTTATTTTTCATCTTGATAAAGGTAAATTGAAGTTTTATTTCAAAGGATGAATTTTAGTAAGCGTCCCATATTGTGACGTCATAGAGTTTGAAAAACAGAATCTGTTGACAGCGACCTTTTTTGCTCATTTTTTGTTACCTTCAACTTTTCAGGTGTACATTAAACAAAAAATACGAGATCAATTTTTAATAAAACATACATGATTATTTTGCTCTTAAACTCTAGTTTATTGATAAATAGTTGATTTTGTTCGCAAAAGTATGTGTTTTCTGTTGTATGTGGTAAAGTGGAGGACGAAAGGTTTTCAAAATTCATTAAAATAGGGCTAATTTACGCCATTCGCCTATTTTCAAGTACAGCAACACATATATTTATTTCACCTAAAATATCAATTGATTCGTGTTTTATGATGCTCCTATCCCATTCCAGTCATGATACCGCCGAGCAAGCTCATTGCATCATCGGGTCTGCTTTACCCCCGTGGTGACTAGAGTCTAGAAATCTCTAAGCACGCCGTAGTTAAACACAAGACAAAATTAGTCGTTATTAAATTGCCATGGTGAGATTTTGCGCTATATATGGAAACATTTAAACTATAATTTACCGCACGTGTTAATATTTCGTACGGGATATCAAATCAAAAAGAGTATGTTTTCACTTTATATCCGACTTGAGTCACGAAAAGTACATCGCAACATGGCTTCTTAATTGTTAACTTGTTATAAATTAAGAGGGTCTGTTTAAATGGGTATTTCCACTAATCAACACCCATTATTTCGCATTGACAAGTACCAGGGCCGAATCCAGCATTTGCTAAGGGGATGACTTGAATTATTCCAGGGGTGAGGTCACATTTGATATTTGCTCAAAAGTTACACGAAAACTGCTCAAAAGGGAGAAAGAATTATTGGCCAGGGGATACAGTATTATTTTAAACTAGACATCTCTGTCGGCGAGGGGGGGGGCTAACTTATTCCAGAGGTGGGGTCACATTTGATATTTGTTCAAAATCACACGAAAACTGCTCAAAATGGTGATAGAATAATTGGTCGGTGGATGCAGTATTATTTTAAACAATACATTACTGTCAGCGAAGGGGGAGGGGTGCTAACATATAGTTGAAATTACAGAATACGCTACCTTAATTTTTGATAATCTATTTGCATAATCTTGTCATAAACAACTACTAATTTATATACGTGAACGGATATTTGTAAATTTGGTTTAAAAAGAAACTGAATATAGGGTAAAAATGAGGGAGACAGACGTCGGAAGAGTGGGGATAAAATCTAATCATCACTAAGCTGAGACAGAATGAGAATCATATGTCTGGACTCGCAAGATTCTCATAAACATATTTGTTGATTGCTCGCGAAAACAAAAACAAATTTCAGGGTTCATTGGCATCACACAATATTTGCAAAAGGGGGGAGTGCATTTTCCCAGGATTTAAAACAATGCTTTACTTTAAATGTCGCCCCTCATACTAGCATACGCTTTAACTATCAGATTCAGTAGCACCCTGCCCTTGATATATTAATACATAGTTTTCTTGTAACCCTTTTCAAAAATACAACGAACTAAATACATAGTAATAATGATCTTGGAATTCATTTCTTTGATCTGTAATCTAGATCACACAATAACTAATTAACTGTTTGATTGCGTTTTTGCTTCTCCACAGACGGGATATCCCCAAATTACCTTGATTACAGCATGGGCTTTCAAGAGAGTCCATGATTGCAGTCTACATGGTCTATAGGCTATTTTTAATTCCTCGTTATTTTAGTTGTGTATCTCTGAATCTGATTATCATATACAATTTACTTTAACCAATATCCCAGATGCGAGGAGAAATAATCTTGATTTACGTCATTAAGAATTCACAATTCAGTCAAACTGATGTCATATTTGGAATCTACATGTAAAATTACATTTAGAAATGTGGTTTTGAAAAGAGTTTATCAACTTTGAAAATTTAATTTTCTTTGAAAATCTGACTTCTAGGTCGGGGAGATTCCCCATGGAGTCTATGTTGTAAAACCACAAAAAGTGGAATATCTTTTCTTGTGTAGGGCCGATAACATTTTCTTTTACTGGACATATTTTAATTTGTATAACTATCAGATACATAAAGGTAATATGAAAAGTGAACCATTAAAACTCATGCATATTCAAGTTTAAGGGAATTTTGT